GCGGCCTTTCTTAATAAAGCCTGTCTGCGGACCAGTGATGTTCGTGTATACCGTGTGAGCAAATGTCATGAATGAGCAACTACTCAGCAATCATATCATATCATGCATTCAACCTACCAGGCATCTCAAGCCAATAGAGTAGAATTTCTTTGCTAATACATACCACAGCTGTTTACTGTAGTAGTGTAGTTGTGTTTATGGTCATGATGCAATCACTTGAGGATGCATTCATTTTGTTTACGATCATGATGTAATCACTTGAGGATGCATTCACTTTGTATATGGTCATGATGTAATCACTTGAGGATGCATTCACTTTGTTTCCAATGCGCCACACGTTTCCCACTCTAAGGAGGCAATTGTTATTGGTTTTGCTGATGCCGTTTCCACTGCAGGACAAAGCATTGGCCACTCACAATGTTGTACATAACGACGATGGCACCACTGCACCTGTATGTGTCAGATTGGAGTAAGTCTATACCGTTTGTGTTTGGTATCATCGGCATAGCTTGCTTGAGGGACTCTTGCACTGCTGGGTATGTTGACACTGGGTATGTTGACACTGGGTATGTTGACACTGGGTATGTTGACACTGGGTATGTTTACCAAAAGGGCGAGCAAACTACATGGTTGTTGTTTTGAGCTAGTGGGCTTCTTGAATGTGTGTGCGTGCGCGTGTGTGTGTGTGTGTGTGTGTGTGTGTGTGTGTGTGTGTGTGTGTGTGTGTGGGTGTGGGTGTGGGTGTGGTGTGTATGCATGCGTGCATGCGTGCATGTGTGTGTGTAGAAGTATTGAATTGCTGGTACGTGTGGTGATGCTGGTGGCAACTCATGTTGATAGCGACTGAGCAAGTACAGTACCTCACCCCCAGCCCCATTCCCAACCCTATTGGCAGGACCACTATTTCCGATCTTTCTCGTGGGACTTCATCATCTTGCCAACCTTTAATAAAGATATGATTGCATGGATCTTGTTTTGGTGTGCTTCCACAGTACGTTCAGTGAAATGCTTCTGGACCACTTGCTGAACTTTGCTGGAACACCAAAGGTATGACACCCGGCCTTATGTCCTAGCTCTCTTTCTGTCTGAGAAGCAGCCCATCATCAGGCGCGTGCACCGTATGAGTTTTTTGGTGTCTGGAAACCACCTTTTTTCGGGCAATCTTGCCAAAGGAAAAGCGTGCCTACTGGATTGGTTATCCTGCATACGCGTCGATCGACGGGCAGCTTACAGTACAGTGACTATGTCCTTATTTCGAAGTGAGAGAGAGAGTTGCTTTGCATGCAGTTCAAAACACATTATTCTCTCTTTCTTCAGTGGAGAGAAGCCACAGAGAGATCGATCTCTAGCTCTGGTTCGCTCCTGGATTGGCGATAACATTCAAGAAATCCGTTTTGTCTCGAAATTTGAGTCAAGCCTGCGCGATGCAAGTCAGTTCAAGGGTATGATTGACGATATCTCCTTCCAAACTGTTGACTCAAATCAAGATCTCCACAGCCTTTCGTTCTCGCTCATGTGCGCAGCAGAGATGTTCGTCAAAAACGTTGTCGACTGGAGGACGTAAAAATGTGCGTCCATGATCCACTTGCGCTGCTCCGGCCGCGAATCAAGGACGCAGGGCTTCGCTTTTCTTCCGCGAGCGTCCATCGAAGCAAGGTCCATAACTCTTTATTGAAATCATGTGGAACATTGCCAATACATGCTGAAAACTTCGTCATAAGAACAGAAAGAAAAGATACGTCGAATGTAAGCAGTGTTTTGATGAAAAGAACAAGCCTGGAGTGGACTAGTGAAGTACCATAGACATAGTGTTATAGACTGTAGTGTAGCCTGGGCGGCTAGGCCTATCAAACTTTTACGTGTTCAATATGACAAACATGTATATGAGTACATCGACTTTTGCACCCTCTTTGCAAATACTTTTTCAAGTGCTGGTATGTAAAGGGTAACCCGTACCCATTTTATCCTGCTACCGGTTATATATGTACCAACATTTCCATGCAAAATCGTCCCCTCCCTCCATTTCTCATTGCTCCTATTTCTGTCCTTTCTACCCCTGGACCTGGTTCCCTCTCAGACGCGTTTGTGCCGGAATGATCTGATGATAGCAGTCGGAGCCCCGCGTCTCATCAGCACCAGTGTTCATTGGTGCCCTGCACCCCTAATCTTGAGTCCCCCCCCCCTGCTCATCAGCACCAGTGTTCATTGGTGCCCTGCACCCCTAATCTTGAGTCCCCCCCCTCCTCCCTAGCCCTCGCCGTTATCATGGTTATCTCCGACGGGATGTTGGAGGGATGCGCATGTGCACAAATACATAACTATATCTACAGAAAAATTTCCAACTCTAGAAACCTCCCTTTCAAGACTCGGTGCACGCCACTGATCATCATACCAAAGAGATTGAGCAGCTAGGAAGGATCCTCTTGCCGCTCTTGAGGACTGCTGCTACTGGGCACTCATATTGCGTACAGTGTTGCTTCAATCCAGTGCTAAGTTCTGTGTGGTGTATAAGATTCATGTGCTCTCCTGTTTCCAGTTGTGTCTATACTAGTCGTGTAGAATTGTGCGAGGTGAAATTCGACCCAAGGTGAAAGGCCGGCGGCCTGGTCCTGAATCAGTTTCCAGTGCATCAGTGTAGGTGTCAACATGTGTGTGCATGTCCAGCAGCATTTGTACCGCTTCCAGGGTGTTAATGGCTGTAGGGTGCCAAACATGCACATGCACATTAGGTCGGACTTCACCTGGCACAGCTGTATCATGTACACATGTACAATGTAGATCACAGCAGTCAGAACAGGTGTCCATCTCACGATGCACCGTGAACATGGTCTTTGAACGGGCCTAGGAGTGAGTGGGTGGGTTGAAGTTAGATCCTGCCGCCTCGGATAACATACCTTCTGAGACAGGTTGTCTTGCGTCTCAGTGCTGCTTCACTCAGGTTGCATTGCACGCGTATTCCTGAACCCGTTTCTCTACGTGTAGCTGTGTATGTATGTGTGTGCTTTTCCTCGCTGCAGGGCATTCAACTCTTGCACCAAACTGGAATGCTGGAGAACTGTGTGACGTACATGTTTGAACGCTTCAAAAAGAAAATGCAGGTTGGTGGGTGCTTCCATCATGTACTGCATGCAGCCAATGAAATACAATCTGATGAAGTAACTTGTACTGGTTTTCATACCCGACTACGAGAAAAGGAACCATGTTGTCAGAACATTGATGTCACAAATCACTATTCATGAATTGGAAAATACGCTGCAGGCTGTTTTGTTTTTAGGCTCTTGCACATACATTTGCTAGTTGGTGTTTGATGGTATTTCACGGCAGGCAAAGGTTTGTCTACGTTTCTGTCTGCTTTCCCTTGATGTGGACTGGGTTATGTAACAGGTCAGCAAGTGCGAGAAGTTTGGCTATGGTGTCATGGTGCTGCAGCTTGCTGCAACCGCACCCGGAATGGTCGCCCTTCACAATGTTGGTAAGCAGTAACCACCACCACCATCACCTCCTCCTCCTCCTCCTCCTTCTCCTTCTCCCTCTCCTCTTCCTTCTCCTCCTCCTCCTCGTCCCCGCAATGTCCTATTCTCTGACTGTTGAGCCATCAATCTATGTGTTTAATCCCTCCAATGCCTTTGAATCAATGGCCTGATGTATACTTATGGTTGAACCATCATGAACCCCTATTGGGGGAGTGATGAAGGTGAGCGATCGAGTGCATCATGACAACAGCCTTGAGAAAGAGATTCAGCGACTCATTTTATGAGATAGATCTGGGCACGAAGATCGGTTTCTGTGGTAACCGGTCTCAGGAATATAACGTTACTAGTACAACACTGGCCTTAGGGTCCTTGCCTTCTGAAATAACATGCTTCCTTCAAACTGTTGATCCCCATAGTGAGCCTGCAGAGAAGTACTGCGAGAATGCAACATCAACCTGTTGTATCGTTATTCTAGCATGCTGCGAGTGTTTGCTATGATGTTAATTTAATGATGTGCAGCTGTTTATTCATATGATTCTGGGTGTGTATGCATGTGTGTATGCATGTGTGCATGTGTGTATGCATGTGTGTGTGTGTGTGTGTGTGTGTGTGTGTGTGTGTGTGTGTGTGTGTGTATGTGTGTTTGTGCGCGCGTGTGCGTGTGTGTACAGGATATGTGCGGCGCATTGTGCAAGATCTATGGTTGACTGTGTGTGGCGGGGAAGATGATCTACGACTAGTTACCGCCTACACAGACCCAATGGATCCCATGGACCGATCAGTGTACAAGGTACAGTAGAGTACAGTAGAGCATTGCACAGATCATCGGTTTATGATGGCAAGAACTGTGAAATCTAGTCAAGACTTGCTCTAGCCAGCTGGCTGGGTTTTTCTCATGTCAATTACAGTGACGATGCCGGTTACCGGATCCTCTTTCACTACTATGTTGTACATTAGCTATGGGTACTCGTAGTGCTAGCCATGTATCATTGTTTTTGTTTGGTCTGTATGGCATTGTCAAGTGCAGGTGATGCTGCAGCTGGTAGCTCTCGTGACTCCATTCGATGGACTGGTCCAACTCTTGCATGGTCCAAAGCCAGTGCTGCACGATGATGACACACCGGTCATGGCCAAGCCCAAGCTGGGCGGCGGAAACGAGCGCTGGAGGTGCGCTAAGCCGTGGAAGCCATTCCGACTGTGGCCAGAGATGGAGCAATGCCAGGAGGTTACTGAAACCATTGAGGTAAGTAGCAAGTACTCATCAACCGGCATGCTGTAGTGTGCCGCTAGTCCAGCGTGTCATACGTGCTCAGTTGTGTGTTTGTTCTGCCGGCACAATTCTACTATCATAGTAGCTTGTGCTCTGTGACTGGTGTACGCCGTGTTGCTCATGTACCTGAATGTGGCTGGTGTACGCCGGTGATGTGCTGATTCTCAGGGTAATATGATATTCTAGCAAGGCCGGGTAACTGGGTAGGGTACATGGTCGTTGTTCCTAGCACCCGCTGTCTATTTAGCAGTTGGGTTTTGAATAGCTTGTAACACTGGAACATTATACTGATCCATTTCATAGCACAAATGATATACAGTAAAACCTGGTTTAAGCGACCACCCACGGTGCAAGCAAAGACGGTCGTTAAAGCCAGGTGGTCTTTAGAACCAGGTCCCACAGTTTCTGTGTAGAACTGTCCGTCCATGGAAACACGGTCGTTAAGAGCAGGTGGTCGCTAAACCCAGAGGTCGCTTACACCAGGTCTTAATGTATGTTGTAACATGTATGAGAGCATTTTGAAAAAAAAAATACTCTCAAGTCGGTGCTCTCTCACTTTCCAAAAACAATAATTTGTTGCACGTATGCATTGTTTTGTACTGCCATAATTTGTTTTTGCATGTATGGCGATTCTTGGCGGCGTGCGTCGTGGTGCGTGCAGAGTTTGTTTCGAATAGCTCTAAGCAGCATGCCCACGGAGCCCATAGCAATGGTCTTCAACTTCCGACACATGGAACACTGTGTTCTCAGGTAGGACTCCTTATCACCCTCATCACTTGAATCAGAACTGCAATGCGACCAGAATGATTGTTCTCTGGACGAAGCAAGAGTAAACGAGAAAAATAAATAAAGTTGATTCATCTCACAAGGATAGGTTGCGTGAGAGACAAATAACTGTAAAACTGTTACTTGACTCCTGCAAACTATGCGAGCCTAGCTATGCCATTATGCGAGCAACATATTTGGTGCAAGCACCCTGATACTTGATGTTTGTGCTGTTCTGTTTGCTACAGGCTTGTTAGTTTGGCCGTGACATGCCTGGACTCACTCATTCTCATGGAAGTGCACTATGACATGAGACGCACTCTCCTTACTTTACAAGCTGGGTGTCGGATGGATGAATACAGGTAAATTTTGACTTAGGGGCCATCCGTAAATACCGATATTTTTTTTAGAAACGAAAACTAGTCGTTTCTCTTCAACCCCCCCCCCCCCCCCCTCACTCAGAAACGAACACATATAAACGATGCATAGTATCGATATTTTTTCTATTCTTTTCTGGACGTGCCCACACATACAAACTGTGCATCGATATTTTTCGAGAAACGAACAGGCGCTCAACCCCCTCTCCCCTAAACGACTAGTTTTCGTTTCTAAATAAATATCTATATTTACGGATGGCCCCTTAGCCCCAGCAGTCGTAAGCATGCAAACACCTCCAAGTGCACCCACGCAGACAGACACACGCACACATACACGCACACATGCCACCGGCGTACCCATACCCTGACACGCAGACACCCGCATAACATACCACTCACTATGGCATGCATAAACATACAATGGACACATTGGGTTGGGGGTTGCCATGACTTCTTTTGGACAATTCGAATATTCAAGAATAATGCTCTTTGATAATAATCGATTGAGTGATTGAGCGAAGATGCATACCTGTGATGAAAGAGCAGACTCGCGTAAGGACCGGCCCGCCACGGTCTACGCCGCACTGCCCACCAAGAGCTATATCATCCCGCTCGCCGCAGGCCAACCACATACTGCCCACCGACGGTGCCCGAATGGCCACCTCGGCCAGCCAACTCGCCTGCCGTGGGCTAAACTTGCATCTGCCCGCCGAGGGCGCATGAATGGCCACCGCGGCCAGCAACCGCCCGCCAGGGCTAAACTAGCATACTGCCCACCGAGGGCGCACAAATGGCTAAGCTAGCCTACTGCCCACCGAGGGCGCGCAGATGGCCGCCGAGGTGAGACGGTTGTATTGTCCAGGATAACTCTGCCTTCATCAACAATCAGAAGCCCTCTAAATACCAGTACAGCAATACAGGTGCTAATGCATATAGTGTAAAGTATGATGATGATTGTGTCAAGTGTCACGTAGGAGGTGTGTATAGCACACCGCTCACACTCCCCCACTCAAACTCAACAATATGAACACCAACTCAAAATGGAGGCACACCATGCCGACTCAAAGAAAGTGTTCCCGCGAAAGCCAGCCTCCCGCCCAGCTTTCATGTGACCTGCCTGGTTTGCCACCAAGCATCTCAGGTCAGAGTTAGACCTCCCCCGCACTCTCGTTATCGTCTGACGCATCCGCTTCGGCACCACTACAGGCCGAGCTTGATCCATAACGGACCCGCCGGGGGTTTACTGCCAGAAACTTGGTTGGCCGTCTAACTCTTCCACTTCTGCGAATCGGGGTTGTCTCCTGGGCAGCTCCACTTGGAGAAACGTCAAGCTCCCCCTCCGTCCCCGTTTCGTGGGTGCTGCTACTGTGCTCCCAGCTCAACCGCTGAGGGGGTGCGGCCTCTAGCTCATTGTAGTGTCGCTGTAGCGTGCGAGTAAGGGCATTGGGTCCGCAAGGCTTCACCAGGTAGGTATTGCGAGTCCTGTGCACAACTGTATACAAGTCAGACTTGTGTGCGTGAAGCTTTCCTTTCGTGCGCTGTGCAGGTTGGAGCTTGATTCTCACTGTGTCACCAACAGCATATCCACACCTCGCCTTCCCGCCAACTCTCACCCTCCTGGCCTCCTGAGCATCGCTTATCCGGCGCTTCACCCGTCGGAAAACTCTGTCCATTCGTTCCACCGCACGTGATGGTCGCTGTCCTGTTGGTTGTGGTACTGCAAACTGTTCTGGTCTGTTGGGGTGCTGATGGAACAGTAGTTCGTATGGACAGCAGCCGGTAGTAGCATTCTTTGACGTGTTGTGCGCATACTGTACGGAACGCACTGCCTCTGGCCATGCCGCTGGGTTGTCATCACACACACATTGCACATTATCGATCAGTTGATTCTGTCGTTCGACCTGACCATTAGACTGGGCATGGTTCAGGCTGCTCTATGCCTGCCGAATGCCTATGGCTGAGCACATTTCCCGAAACACCGTTCCTGTGAAGTGTGAGCCCCGGTCGCTCTGGATGGTCACCGGAATGTCGAACACCGTAACCCAATGCTCTAGTTGGGCCTGCGCTGCCGTCTCTGCCGTGACGTCGGCTATAGGAATAAGTATCGCGTATCGCGTCAATACATCTTGTACGGCCAAGATATAGCGAAACTGATCCGGCACAGACGGCTGAAATGGGCCAACGAAATCAACCTGTATCCGTGCCAAAGGTGCTGCGGGTATATCCGTTTTCTGCAGCTCCGCCTTGTCCGGATGTTTGGGGCGCTTGTGCCGCTGACAAGCTGCGCATCCTCTCACGTATGTTGCCACATCTTCTGACATGAAGGGCCACCATACTATGTCCCGAATGCGGTCGTTCGTCCTGTTTCGGCCCATGTGACCACTGAGTGGTGCATCATGCACCAGCTCTAGGAACTTCCGGCGCAACGAACAGGGTAGAACCACCACCTGAATATTCCTCCGACCCAGTGGCTTCTGTTTCGTAGATCTGCCCTTCGACTCCGAGTATCGCAGGACTCCATCCGTGCCGATCCTCAGTCGTCGAGGTCAGCAAACCACCCGCCGAGGGCTAAACTAGCATACTGCCCACCGAGGGCGCTCGAATGGCTGCTGCAGGCAGCAAACCTTTCGTCGAGGGCTAAACCAGCAGACAACCCATCGAGGGCGGGCAATTTGCCACCTGAGGCCAGCAAACTGCCCACCGTGGGCCGGTATCATCTTGCCCGCCAAGGGCACACAAACAGCCACCGTGGCCAGCAAATCGCCCACCGAGGGCTCACACGACTGCCTGGCATCAGGCTTCACAGCATACAGACAGAATAGGCCGCCCGTCCCCCCCCCCCCCAACCGGATAAACAAAATTCCACTTTAAAAGGGGTGGGCGGGAGGGAAGAACTATGACTTGACACACAAACTGCAACTGCAAAGAACGCTCCTTCGCACCAAGACAGCTCAGCAAAACACATCTCCAAATTAGACGCTATATCTACTATTCATGAAGTTGGTTGCTCCGAAACACTGTGTATTGAGCAGGGAGTGGTGCTTTCTTTCAGGTTTGCCGAGCGGAAGGTGCGACAAGCTCCTGGTGTGCTCCGGATGGCAGTCGTGAGTCAGTCAAGTGTCAAGTTCGGCCAGAAGCGTGTGCTCCTCGTTGGAGCAACCAACTTCATGACTATTACCGCCGAAGTCGCAACTTCTAAGTTCATATCTACTATTGTCCGTAAAATTTTGCCAGGCCACACGCTGCGCACGCGGCTTAGTCACGAGGTGATCACATAACGCACGCTCGCAGTACTCCACCACCAGCATGCGTGTGCCTGGGCTATCTAGGTTTTGCTACGCAAAGCCCACATTTAGTGTCTCTTGAATCTTATTAAAGGGGAAGTGCATCGATTTTTCGAGTATGGTCCAGAAGAAAGACAATTTGATATCGGTTCGAATGGCATATCTCTCGCTTCCATACGATAAGCCAAACTTGCCAAATCGCCAATTGTATACTCACGTTGCCATAGCGACCAGCGCAGTGATGACGTACGAAAGGCTTAGCTCCACCACAGAGAAGGTCAATCACTGCAGAATTTGGTCATTTTCAATTGGTTTATTGTATTCACGAAGTGAAAGAAGGGCTGTGTTCGATGCTGTAAGTGCAGTAAACTGTTTGTTAGTAGTCCTCTCGGTTGTGTACTGGGACGTGACACCGACAGGAGAAAGCTGGAGCGCGGAGACACCAGCAGACAAGCGAAAATAGTGACGAACAAAATGCTGAAATCTTGGTTGGGACAAATCAGACGTTCAGCATTTCCCCCAACCAAGGACCATGCCGTTTGCTCTTTCCACTTCCTGAAGATGAATGTGATGCTTCCTGGCGACTCTCCTATCTCTTGTAACATCTTCTGAAGCCAGGTGAGACGACGGGTGCCGGGTGGTGGAGATTGACGAATGAAATACTGATGTCGTAGGTTTGAAAGTTTGCTGAAAATGTCTCAGGAGACACGGCGAATTCCAAGCATCTTGTCCTCGAGGAAACCATTTCCTAGGCACAGTCAGCCTAGGGAAATGCATGAGAAGGGCGACAAATAGTTCACGGCACTAACAGCATTGAACACAGCACTTCTTTCACATCGTGAATACAATAAGACAATTGAAAATGACCAATTTCTGCAGTGATCGACCTTCTCTGTGGAGGAGCTAAGCCTTTCGTACGTCATCACTCCGCTGGTCGCTATGGCAACGTGAGCATACAATTGGCGATTTGGCAAGTTTGGCTTATCGTATGAAAGCGAGAGATATGCCATTCGAACCGATATCAAATTGTCTTTCTTCTGGACCCTACTCGAAAAATCGATGCACTTCCCCTTTAATTACAATTCAGCTTTCATTCCTAGAGTGTGTGATTAGGCCATTAATAGCTTTGGTGTGTATTCCAGGCATCTAGAACAACTGCGTGTCTGCTTCTTTGTCTACTGTTTTCCCTCTGCCCTGGTCGCGCAGCGGTTTTCTAATGGATGCTGCAGCCCTAGAGCGCAATCACATCCTTGTTGCAACGGCTTCTGTTGGTGGGCCATCAGAGCGAATCATTCCCCCACGGGAAATCAATGACCTCAGCTGGAAGGATGCCAACAAGGTACACTAGTACACTCAAACGCCTCTTATCCGGACGCCTCAGATACGGGCACGTCTTCTACCGGGCACATTCGGCTTGAGTTCTTATCACAAATGGTTCGAATTTGGGGGCTTTGAACTTTTTTTCGGTGTGTGGAAGTGCTTATTTTTCACTGCGAACCTATGTAATCCACACATTTGTATCAATGGGTTCGTTCTGTATCCTCAACATATGCAATACGTGCCAAATAAACTTCTTCAAAAATGATGTTTATATACATAGTAGATGAGATAACCTGAGATAAGGGGAAACTGGAGATACGGGCAATGCCCGGTCCCAAGGTGCCCGGATAACAGACGTCCGAGTGTAGTGATAACTACGCCTTGTTATCTCACTCTAGATTATCTCCTCCTGCCCCGCCTCCTGCTCCTCCTCCTGGTCCTCCTGCCCATACTCCTCATCCTCCTTCTTCATCTCCTCCTCATGACTCTGGCTGGCTCCTCTTCCTCCTGATAATTCAAGACTATGCTGCAGATGATGGATCCTGTTGTATTACGTGTTCATTGTTAATCATAAGCCAGCTTGCCAATGTTGGTTGAACTCTTCCGTCGATAGTCACTTCTAATGGACCTTGTTAATCTGTGTGTGAAATTTGCATCAATCGTGAAGAAATTCAGAGAACTGCACAACCCATTCAAGTGGCCACTTTTCAGCGAGGACCCAATACCCAGAGAGTATGTCATCAAGCAGAAAGAAGCAAGCCCAGCTGTGTCTGGTGAGTATTGGTGATGGTGTGTGTGTGTGCCCTTCCTTGCCGCATTCAGAAGTAGGAGCATGCTTCTTTTCGTTCTTACAATCTTTCCGATCCAGAAACTTGGGTAGGGATCAGTTGCCGCTGTTTCTCAGATGAATGGGGAAAATGAAGTGTACACGCATGAAGAGCGTTGCTCTCTGCACAAGCAAAGGTACCCAGCTGCAGTTGAGGCATTTTCGTAGAGGGACCAAAGAGTGAAGCTGCTAACCAGGAATACATGAGTCATGTTTCCGTGATTGCTCATAGAGAATAGAGCCCCGTCGATAGTGTTTTGCCAACCATACCTGTGTTTGTGCTGTATTGATGTGACTGCTGGCTTGTGTTACCTTGTGTAGTATCCGAGTTTCTGCAGAAGAAGTTGCTAAGATGCAGCAGGTAGGTGTAGTGGTGTAGTGGTGTAGTGCATGAGCGTATACTTGTTGCTTTTGATACTAGTTCATGGCTATCGGGTTGGATGTCGTTTCTCTCTGCTTTGCCAATGGGTTCACAAAGGATTAGACAGTGTTGTCCTCAGATTGAGTTTTCGTGATACTGTCTATTCTTTTCACTCCTGTTGGTGAATAGCTTACAACTCAATTCTGTAACCGTCTGCGAAGACCCTTTTGAGAAAAGCCATGTATGTGAATGCATGTAACAACTACCGTGGTGTGTGTGTTTGTTTGTTTGTGTGCGTGTATGCGCGTGCATGTGCATGTGTGTGTGCGTGTGTGTGTGCATGTGTGTATGCACGCACGTGTGTGTGTGTGTGTGTGTGTGTGTGTGTGTGTGTGTGTGTGTGTCTGTGTCTGTGTGTGTGTATGCACATGCGTATGTGTGTTCTTGTACGTGTACGTGTACGTGTGTGTGTGTGTGTGTGTGTGTGTGTGTGTGTGTGTGTGTGTGTGTGTGTGTGTGTGTGTGTGTGTGTGTGTGTGTGTGTGTGTGTGATATTTGTGTGATCATCTCACTGTGATATTTTGTGTGATTAACACTATGATATGTGTGTGATGTGTTGTATGCAGCACCCCTCCTCAGAGCACGGTGCGTGACGTGTTTGCCGACGCACTACGTAAGGGCAAGATCTGTGGCTCGGCTGATCTTCTTGCCCTCGTAAATTCAGCCATGGGTAGCCTGCCAGCACGGCCGAACAGTCAACCAGTACCAGCAGAGTTCATGCAGCCTTATAGCTCTATCACCACAGGTAATACTAGCTCTTTGCCATTGGAAAACTAAATTGCCTCAAATACAGAGTTTTAATAAAGCAATTAATAGAACTAACTCTGCCGTCATCACCATGAATCTACAAAGTCAACTGCTTTCCAGGATCGATTTTCAAGTCACTATCATCAGTGGATTATCGTGACTGAAGTGTAGGCAAGCCAATGGTGATGACGGCAGAGTTAGTTCTATTTATTGGCAATTATTGCTATATTAAAATTGTTGTCTCCGCTGCGTATATTCCAATACAGAATTGCAATTTAAAAGCAACTATAGTGAACTCTGTGTTGGTCAGCTGAGTTTGGCACTCTCAGAATTTCACAACTCCCACAAGAGCCAGCCAAAATAGCTTTTTCACTCACAAAGCGACTGTTCAGTACATGGGGTAGTGGTCTACCAGAGCAATCACACTCACCACCGTGGTGGTTTTCCAGAAATGAGTAGAAGCAAAAAACCACACTCGCAGCCACAGAATAGATAAATAGCCGAAAAACATCTAAATCCATCAAAGAACCGCCAGCAAGCGGGAGAAAAGGCCGTGAAATCAAGTGAAACAGCATGGCCAGTGGTGAGCATGGGTGACTGGGCAGCAGGGGAGCGCCTGAAAAACAATGACTCCCTACATTCCTAGCCGCGACCGCTCAACCGGGCTAGAGGAAAAACACGCCTTTCGGCCAAAAAACCTTTCTATTTTCATTAATTCCTGCCCCGCTGCCAGTCAGACCCAAGAATAGAGATAGCAAGAAATGGTATGTAATAATCATCATAAGCCACACACATAGGCATAGATTGTCAAGAAGAACAGCGGACGACTCCCATGAAACCAGGGTGGGTGGGCGGGCAACTTCAACTACCACGAGGAAAAACAAAGACCACGATGGCAGGTTCAACGGAGTTGCGCAGAACAAGAGCAAATGCACGAAAATATTTGTGAGTGAAAAATACGTTTTTTGCACTCTTTTGCTACGCTCAGCCGTGAAAAAACAAAACTTTTCCGCATCCGCAGGAACCCCACCACCCTCATGGGTCGGGCGCAGGTGACGCTCCTGGGTAGGAGGTGAGCTGATTGGACCCACATAAGAAATTTTCCGTCCTCCTCCGCTGTTTAGGAGCTGCATCTGGCACCTGATCATGGGATGGTGGCATCCCATGGAAGGGAAGGGAAACGGTGGTTCTTGACTCGCTTTCTACGTGAACCCGCGTCATTTTTTCCAAGCCGGTGTTGAGCATGATATACCCTCTGTTTCCCAGCCATGATCTTGGATCACTACTATGCTTGCTTCAACGGTTTGTTTCATTGTGCTTTGTGGAGATACCCCCCGCCCCGCATCCCCTATACGCACCCACCCACACACCTTACTTCATGCAGTGAGTCACACTCTGTGTTTGAGGCATGGCCACTGATACTGACACTGGCTTGTGTTCCGGCTTGTCGTATTTCTACATGTCTGTGCATTGTCCTCCGGCCAACAGAGCAAGCATCCCAATGTACTGGCCTGAATGAATACTACAAGTTTGGTGTTCGGCTTGCAGTCAGGTAAACTGAATTACTTAAGTTTCCTTTTTTTACTCTGCGTTTGGTACACAACAAACTAGTTGATAGGAACTAGTTGGGGCTAACTGTTAGTTTACAGGATATACTGCATATACGTTCATGTACATGCACCTAGTGGCTCAACACTGTTATACTGCACTGCACTGCACTGCACTGCATAAACATCGGACACTAGTGGTACCAATTTGCCTCTTTCCACCGTTGCAGGTATGGAGTTGCGCTCGGAAAGCTAAAGGAAGAGGAGAAGTCAGCTGAAGACCTGGAACAACTGTTAAACATGTTATCGCGTTGCCTGGGTGTCATGAATGGAATCGAGAAGGCTGCAGGTACGTTCACGTATATGCTACATTAATGGTAATCTTTGTTCTGGGTAGTCCGCATTAGCCTGTCTTCATAGCAGTCAAACTGGTCGGTAGCTCTGCTACTTGAAGAGTAGATGCTCAACATGTCCACCAGCCAAGGTTATAGAGGTTGCAAAATTGCAACATCTGATTCAGTTGAGAGGCTTTCTCTGGAGTGGCAAAGCTGCAACACAGCGGTCGATGCATTGGCTCAAGGCCAAACCGCTGATTCAGACTGTATGCTAAGTTCCTATAAGCGAAGCCGCTGGTTCACGACCGTGACATCCTTCACATAACCCACATAGCTGACAATAGATTTGGTCACCCTGTAAGAAGACCTTCGGGTCTCAGTCGGGAATGCCCAAGTAAAATAATAAAATACAATACAAAAAAATTATCAAAATTGTCTTTACCACCATATTTATCAACAAAAAAATTACACAGTATTTTGTGTTTGTTGTGTGTTCTCTGCTGAAACCAGCTGAAATGAGTAGCTGCAGTGGCAAGTTCCACGGGTTTGACTGGTTTGTGGCCTCCATGTTTATCATGTGTGCCGGCAACTGTGCGGCTACCTGGTCGTTCCTGCTAGCGTTCTCTGGCCGCGCGGGCGCCGAGTCCGTGTGGTGTCAGCGCATACTGCCTAAGGTAACCGTAGTACTGAACATGCAACAGTATTCTTCACACCACGATGTGCTCGCATGCATGTATGCATGGTGACATGCAACGGCACTCTTCACACCACAATGTATTCATTCTCTACTGTGCCCAGCAAGTAGGTGCTAGATACATGTGGCAAGCTCTAAGCTCAAACACTGCATATGGTAGAAAAACATAAAACATATCAGTGTTTCCATTTTCCAACTCTCCATAGCTTCCACAATAGCAATGTACCTGTCTTGATTGCAATTTTCATTTCAGAATCAAGCAACGCACATCTCGTGTAAATTCTCCGTGATTGCTCACTGTGTGGAATTTATTGTACAGGTAAGCATTTGTCCTGCTCAGTTTTATACGTGACGCTACAGTAGTCGGTGTCTGCATAATCGATGCTCTAACTTGTTGGAACTCAGATATATTCTTACTGCTCCCAGCCCTGTGTCATCTCCTCAATCAAGACAATTGACAACGTGATTACATTGGACGTAGAACTGGACATGACGAACTCAAGACAAAGATTCCTCTCCGTACAACAGCAACACGTGTATGCTCCAACAACAAGTACAAACGACATACACCAAATAAAGTAGTTCAGCACACGGTCCTCATATAAACAAGGAAGAGTCTAAAAGTTGTAAATTTACGACTTCAATGAGAACCAACTGCTTACCAAGCATTTGTGTAGGACCCACTCATCCTTAGCTAGGCTGCTATAACTTGTTCTGGGAATTGCTCGATGTACTGTGTTCAGGACAAGTACCCACTGCTGAGATCTGCGTTTCAGCTGTCCGGTTGCACTCCAGCACAGGTAGGTTTGGGTTGTATGTGTGTCTGTGTGCATGTGTTTGTGTGTGTGTGTGTGTGTGTGTGTGTGTGTGTGTGTGTGTGTGTGTGTGTGTGTGTGTGTGTGTGTGTGTGTGTGTGTGTGTGTGTGTGTGTGTGTGTGTGTGTGTGTGTGTGTGTGTGTGTGTGTGTGTGTGTGTGTGTGTGTGTGTGTGTGTGTGTGTGTGTGTGTGTGTGTGTGTGTGTGTGTGTGTGTGTGTGTGTGTGTGTGTGTGTGTGTGTGTGTGTGTGTGTGTGTGTGTGTGTGTGTGTGTGTGTGTGTGTGTGTGTGTGTGTGTGTGTGTGTGTGTGTGTGTGTGTGTGTGTGTGTGTGTGTGTGTGTGTGTGTGTGTGTGTGTGTGTGTGTGTGTGTGTGTGTGTGTGTGTGTGTGTGTGTGTGTGTGTGTGTGTGTGTGTGTGTGTGTGTGTGTGTGTGTGTGTGTGTGTGTGTGTGTGTGTGTGTGTGTGTGTGTGTGTGTGTGTGTGTGTGTGTGTGTGTGTGTGTGTGTGTGTGTGTGTGTGTGTGTGTGTGTGTGTGTGTGTGTGTGTGTGTGTGTGTGTGTGTGTGTGTGTGTGTGTGTGTGTGTGTGTGTGTGTGTGTGTGTGTGTGCACATGAGCATAGTGGGGGGGGGGGGGGGGTGCTGACATGGGGACGGGAGGACGGACTGACTGATGGCCTAATAGTGCCAAGGGAAACAACAGGCAGCATGTTGGACCTCACCAGAAACCAGAAAACCAGAAACTGAGCTGACAAGTCTCTCTTCACTTGTCAGAGAGGACACTGCTGGACACTGCTGGACACTGCTGGACACTGCTGCAGACATGTGCGCGTGTTCTCTTTTGGCCGGAATTGGGGACAGGTATGGTGCATGCAACAGCATGTTCAGGCTTATCAGGAAGGTGCTGTAGCCATTGGCCCGAACAGCATGCATCAGAAGGTTTGATATCGACAAATGAGGTCCAACTTCAGGCCTGATCTTTCACCTGGCTACCTCTGATCTGGGTGATGCAACAAGTCATAGGTCGAATAATTTGCTTTTCAGGTACTACAGGTGGAATCCTGATAATTCGAATATGGCTTAATTCGAACATACCGCTTAATTAGAAGTTTTTCCAGGACCGATTTCTGTCAATACGATTCCCACATAAAATGTTCTGATAATTCGAACCTCGAACCGGACATGTCCGGTTAATTCGAACTGAGTTCCACGGATTCCACTTACATAGAAAATGTGTGGGATTTGTTCTGATAACTCGAAGTTAGCAAAGTGTAATTCGAAGTTCACTGTACACTGTACTGGTCAGTTCAGTTTGCATGAGCAGGCTGTGCTGGCCGGTTCAGTATCCGTGAAATCTGTGTCTAAGGTCCATAGCGGAACTCTGTGTGACCATGAGAGCATTTTGACATACATATTGTGTTGTGGATTCATGTTTGGATAATTAGAATGTCCAGGATAATTAGAAGCTTTTTCCTGGCATTTGGAGGTTCGAATTATCAGGATTCCACCTGTATAGAAAAGAACATGTTGTTGTTATAGCAATGGTGGCATCCTGGTGCATGACAGAGTTTGCAGCTTTAGATGACCAATGAACCTGTAGAAATTTAGCTCACCGTGACTAATGTGCTGCCCAGCTGGCATTCAAAATCTGATACCTGTTTACTGGCGTTACCTGCCTTAGGTGAGTTATCAATGGCTAAACCAATGTTATTGGAACTACTTGGATTGGCCGGACATTGAACTCTACCTTGCCACATGTATCGTAATGGGTGCCGACTATCAGGTAAGCAACACTCTGAAACGATGATCGAGATTGGTGAGTTTAGGGGGGCTATGGTAATGGCAAATAGGGGGGGGGGGGGCTGAAGCATCAAGCAACCTGGCACTTCCCCATGTACTGGGACCTTTTGTATAACACATTGAGTAATCCTCGGCTTCCCTTGCCCTCTGATATTTGTCAAAACTATGACATATGCAATGTATAAATGACCTGTGTATTGGAAGGGTTGATAGGTGTTTTTTTCATATTGCATACTAGTATGTTCAACGGTGAGTCAATTGTACTCCATTCGGCTGGAGTGTAGAAAACCATTCGATTGTTTGTATGTAGGAATCCCTGAGCGTCGAAGAGTAGGTTCATCTGCCACGAGGTGTAGAGTATTATGTTGGACTCAGTAGGCAGTCGGGTCACTATAGGTAGTCGGGAGTCCAGTGTGAAGTCAAATTCTGTAGACAGTCGGATGATGTGTGCCACGGCTAGGCGACATGGTGTCTATAGGGGCAGCCGTATCCCCAGTATACAGTCGAAGTCCTACAAACACCACAGCTAGATAAAACACGGCACTTCTTGTCCTACAGCACGCCCCACCAGCACCATCTCACCCCATGCTAGCCCCATGTACCTGCCGGGGAGTTGTGTATCTTGTAAAAAACAAAAAAAACAAAAAAAAACACTACATGCACTACATGCACTGCATGCAGTCAAATGACGTTTATTGACTGTTTGGGTGTGAATGCAGGGACAAGTACTCAGTACACATGAACAAACCTGTCAAGTACTCTTACTATTGTTACTGTTGTTTCTTTGCCTGCTTTCCCTATCACTAACAGGTATACTTTGCTGTGGCAATCTTGCATGGTCTTCACGGTCGGATTTTGCAGGAAACTAAGAGACAGCGTTTACTACCAGCATTGAAGGCAAGTGAAGCGAGTCGGTAGTGGATTTGATGGTGATGGTGTGGTGGTGTGGGGTGTTCATTCTTAGTTAGCATGTTCTTATCCCTGCACTGCACACACTAATTATGTGTGCTAACATTGCAGTACCAGCCACTCTCTCTGTGTGTAGTAGGCGTAGAATACGATGCAGGCTGCAAGTTACTGCCACATAACGTTAGTACCTAGTTCACAGGCGGATACATGTACAGCTCATGTAGGCGTCCACTTGTAATTTAGGCACTACGTGGCAGTAATTTGTAGCTAGTCGTGGCTGTGACCATCTAGCAAGTTGCATGGGCACGCTGAGGGCAACGTTGCGTGTGCCCCGGCAAAAACTGCACTGACCAAAGCATGCCTGATGCAATGGTGCTACCCTGTAACTACTACCCTGATCGGCACATGTCCCAGCAAGCAGGCAGCCACTAGGCCACGTGCCGCTTAGCAGCAGTGTGCACGACTGTACAGCTAGCGCATGCAGTTTGTGTTCTCACCATCATGAGAGATGGCGACACTTATCCACCTAGAAATTCTGTATCCTGAGCAGTTTAGCTCCCTGATAGTCCTGACAAGGGAAAGGGAGGTTCAAGTGTACATGTACATGACTGTATGATACTATGTACTATGAATCCAGCCACGTCCTACTGTGCTCTCAAAATATTGGAAATTCAGTTCGCAAACTGATCGCGAAGGTCATTAAAGGGGAAGTATACCCTAAAATCAAATTTTCACCAGTTGTAGTCTTCTGGGTGCTGAGTCGAATGGTCTTGGTCCGAGGAAGCTGCGACGCTCCCTTCCTTCTTTTTTCCCAATCGAACCCGCGCACTTCCACCGAAACTGGGTGACTGCGCCCTACTAGATGGGGATTTGTATGCAAAATGTCACTAAAAGTGCTATGTCGTTCTTATAAAAGCACGGATGACCGCGATTGGCCCATATGTTGTAGTCTTTTGGACGCTGAGTCGACTGGTTTTGGTCCGAAAAGGCTGCGATGCAGCGTTCCTCCTTTATTCCCAATTGAACATGGTTGAACAAGCGGTCACGTGTTCCTGGGTGCCCAAATCACCTGGTCACCGCGCCAGCAGGCGACAACTTTCACACCAAGGTTCAACTCGAGTGACAGGACTGCGCCCAAAAAAGGTCAAACAGGCTAGTAAGGTGTACCCTGCAGGCACGGTGACCAGGTGACTGGTGTACGCAGGAGCATGTGACCGCTCGTTCAACCATGTTCGATTGGGAATAAAGGAGGAACGCTGCATCGCAGCCTTTTCAGACCAAAACCAGTCGACTCAGCGTCCAAAAGACTACAACATATGGGCCAATCGCGGTCATCCGTGCTTTTATAAGAACGAAATGGCGCTTTTAGTGACATTTTGCATACAAATCCCCATCTACTAGGACGCAGTCACCCAGTTTCGGTGGAAGTGCGCGAGTTCGATTGGGAATAAAGGAGGAAGGGAGCATCTCAGCTTCCTCGGACCAAGACCATTCGACTCAGCACCCCGAAGACTACAACTGGTGAAAATTTGATTTTAGGGTATACTTCCCCTTTAAATCAATCATTAGGAGCATACAGTGCATTTCAACGCTTCTGGCAAGTTAGTTGTTCATGATGAATTTTCTTTGGTAGTATGCTGTGAATTGTAGGGACAATGCTCCCAGAGAGGTGCTACAAAGGAAATTCAAAAACTGGCCTGGGCAAGCCTTGGTATTGATTTTTGTATCTGCAGGAGTCCCTTCTCTTGGATTTTCACCTGACTCCGAGTGTGCTGAGGTTCATGCGGGATCTGGAAACGATTTACAGAGACTACATATTCTCCTGCTTGCACTCGTCTGCAAGTGATGGCGGGGTGGACGAAATCACCACCAAGATTCGCAAAACGGACGTGCGGAATTAGCGTGTTGGTGTGCATACGTGAACGTGTGCTTGTACACATGATGCAGAATATTACTGTGGCAGCTAGCGTCCTCAGTATTGTCTATGTGGCTTATCATAATATCGGATATGCTTGTATTCCAAAGAAGGGTGGCTCCAAAGTCAGTCATGAGCCATGCATACCTACCTTGCATCAATAACTATGCTAAGAACACTTCCATAATCGATTCAGACAGACATAATCGGGTGATTCATTCTATAACTAGTAGTACTCCCAGGAGAGCCACGGGGATAAACTCGGACATGAAACAGGAATGCAACTTACTTTGAAGTGATTCTTGATACCCTAAAGCAATTATTTGTATAAGTACCACTGGTACTAATCTTACATTTTGTGACAATTCACTTTCAGGCATTTCTCTGGAAATGTTGCTGTCTAAATACTCTAAATACTCGATTCGTCACCGACGTACCATACGGACAAATCCAACTATAAAACGCTCGATGGCCTCATTCTGATCCTATATGTAGCCTGCTTGAGTTCTGGTTGACATCACTGTTAGATTGCTGGCGCCGTGGATTCTAGTTCTACTTGCGTGCAAAGGCCTGTACGCGTGCATACCCTATACCCTATACCCATGCATACCCTAGCTACAAATCCAGTAGCACTTGTAATCATTGTAACTTGCAATTGCCATGGTAACCCCAGCAGAAAACCGGTCACATGACCGGCTTTTTACCTGCTTCAAAGCCTTCATGCTGGGATACACCACAGAAAAGGCGGCAGGGTAGTTTACCCACAAGCACTTGCTCTCTAGACTCTAGCATGGGGAAAGGATGTCCAGTCACTGCCGTCAACAGCTCCTGTTGGACTACGGGATACAGCTGTTGTGTGAAATCACAGCACTTCATTGCCATAGCCCACATCGCCACAATGCCACATCACCACAATGCATGGGTTCAGCTTCCGCAACACAATCACATTAGTTACGATGTAGAGTAGGTCGTAATGCTTGCAAACCCAAAGCGAGGCAAGAAAACTTGGTAATGCATTAAAACCCAAAGCCAGGGAAGATAACTTGGTAATGCACGTAAACCCAAAGCAAGGCAAAGATAACTAAGAGGTCCAACGTAAATTAACGTGCCATGCATCACAACTTCGCAAGCGGCGATTCATGCAACCAAGCAGACAGTGTTCTGCCATCAGCGCATTCAAAGAAACCACTCTAAAAAAATAGTGAAATGGGAACGGCTACATCATACGGTGGTATAGCTAACAGTAACAGAGATATGTACTGAGCAAGCGTTTCTACCTCATTCAACAGTAGTGCAAGAATCAGTTCAGAATGGAACAAGTGATACGCAGAGTAAGCATTTCCCTCCCAGTGTGTATGTGCATGTCAGGGAGACTACACACAGAAACACATACATAACCTGTTGACTGCATGCTGACACACAGACACCCACATACACAGAAAAACACAAACACACCTAATGAGAAAGAAGATAGTGAGACACAGCTCCAGCTTTTGGACCAGCTTACCTCCCAGTTAACAAACTGGAGAAAAACAACAAGAAACACACAACAGTGACAGCAGTAGGTAATTCAAACCAGGGTGTGTCTGAGACTAAGCAATTCAAGATAGGATGCCTCATCAAAGATGTGTTGATCATCGCCTTGCGTGGTTAATACGAGCAAAATAAGAAAGCGGGGTGTTGGGTGGCTAGCGTGATCATGAACTTGGAAAGGCAAAGGAGCTCACGCTTGGACTCAAAGACAAGTGTACCATGTAGCTGGTCTACGGCCTGTAGACCTACACAGTGAACAGTGTACACCATGATTGTGTATGCAGTGCATTGACCAGTGAATGATTGTGTATGCAGTGCATGCAGTGCATTGACCGGTGAATGATTGACTTAGTGTTGAAACGAGCGTATCTATAGCAAACGAGTTATCAGTTCCACAAACAAGCAAGCTATCGAGCGAGCTAGCGAGTTTCATTGATGTGGCAAATATGATTTTTTGAATATATATTTTTTTCTAAGTTCGATTTTTTCAGCTGGTTCAAATTATCACCACCAATTATCACCGCCGGAATTTGGGGTTGCTGCTGCTTCACTTCGGACTGCTGTTTGGTGTCGAGATGTCTTTTCAGCGCCGTCGTTGAGTAGCCTTTGTAATAATAGACCGTTTTGCAAAGATTGCAAGTAGCCCTGGTCTTCGCTGCATCGCGGGAGAAAACTTCCAAACGATTGAGCGTAACTTTCACTCGAATGGGGAGGCGACCGAAGCATATCCTGCGACAGGTCAGCAGATGCGGAACAAGACATCAGTAGAGTCCACCAAAGCTGCAACGACAACTGAAACAACTCAAGTGTCGTGTAGGCATACAGTCACTGTAACTGCGAGTGATTTTCACTTTACGCGGGACTGGACTCTCGGTCGTCCAGGGAGTCGTAAAAAAATTTACGACTCCCCAGTCGCGACGTCGACATGTACTGCCATGTGCACGGAGTACGGTGTTCGTTTGTGCAAACGAGCTGGCCGCACAAACGAGCCGAGTTTCTGGTGAGCGAGCTAACGAGTACCCGGTGAGATCGTTTCAACACTAATGATTGTGTATGCAGTGCATTGACCGGTGAACGATTGTGTATGCAGTGCATTGACCGATGAACTATTCACGGCCACACACCCTTCAGCTAAGCATACACTGCTGATATATGGAATGCCGTGTCATTGCACTGGAGGTTGCAGGCTGTTGTCTGAACGATAAACTGCACTGGCACCGTCACCAGGTGACTCGCGTACACATCACTACGGGACTGTGTATGGGAATGCATTCGTCGGGCGAAATAGCACATTATAGTACATTTGAGACCAGTGGGAAGAAGATGACGATGTCCACGAATTCAGTATCTCCGCACATGAATATGTTGTGCATGTGACATTGCATGTCAACTATGACATCACACCGAGTGGTGCAATGCTTAGCATGTGGCTCAGAGGCATCCTGCAAAATATGAATGATGCATGTAGGTTGAACGATCGTGCCGACAGCCATGCATTTCGACTTTAGTTTGTAGTATCTTCCAACGTTGAAATTTCGAATTTTGGATGAGAGAGGTGGTTTGAAACCTCAATATTGCTTACTCCAACAATGTGTTGGAGCCAGACCCAGCTTGAGTGGTGACAGGGATCAGCCCTGTAACTGTTGCAACAAAAAATGATTTGATCTGAGAAGGCACGGTACCGACAGGCTCGGTTGAATTTGGAGTAGTTCAAGCCTTTTGAGACGAAGATCGAGTTCTTTTTGGAGATGGACGTTGCAGCAAAGGGCATGGTTTTCGAATTCTGCTGTCTGGTGATGCCAGGGCTCGATGATCATTTGTCCAGTCATATTGCCAGCCTAACCGTCGGCAAGCTTGTGAGTAGGATCCAGTTCTGCTCGATGTTGTAGATCACAATTTTGATATCGCACAAATTGAACTCTGCACCATGCGTATGGAATAGTATACTCAGAAAATCTCAAAGCATCTCTGTGTGGCCGTCCTGTGCCACACGAAAATCAGATCCGGCTCTTCTGTCCTCTGCCTTCTTGATTGACTATCCACTTCGTTTGAACAATGAACACAACAATCGAGGACGGCTTTGCAATGAAGAATACAGCTACATGTAAGTTATACTGGGGCCGAAAAAACGAAGAAAAAACGAGGTCAGGATGAGACTCAAGTGCATGCGTACTCTCCCACCAGGTTCGGTGGATGTCGCTCATAGATGCGTAATTTCGCGTTACGCGATATGGAAAAGGGTTTAATGATAGCTTGCATAGACCTTGGTCCTACCGGCAGGACCTACCAGTAGGACCATCATACACAGACATGCTGCATGGCCTCTGTTCTAACATTGACCTAAAACTTGACCCTAAACTGTTGCTCAGGGGCTAATGAAGGAGTCCACAAATATTAGACGCGATCGCACAAGTAAAGTAAGTAAGTAAATTATCGTGTCCGTTCCCGAAGGGAACTCACGACGGCCGCTAACACCCGGTAAATCCTAGCGGCAGATGCAGCGCCTAACGGTGCACAAGGCATACTACAAAATTCCATGGTAACAGCCCATGGTAACCATGGAAACGGAGTATGGAATTATGCATTCCACTGCCTTGGCAAGCTAATAAAAACATTAGGACCTCACCACGATTGATGTGCCCTGGTCAAAATTTACTTTGGACAGAGTTGCTAGCACACTGACAGGATTATGTGCGGCCATTTTGACAATCGATAAAATTGCGCATACGCAAATTCACAATGCACTGGACATAGCCTTTCATTTTGCGCCATTACTTTGCCTGACAAAGACCTCATCTCAACAATTGTTTCAAGAAAATTCTCGGCCAAAAGCACTTTTGCAGCTCGATTCCTTGGGTCCTACCGGTAGGACGGCATGCAAGCTATCATTAAAGGGGAAGTGCATCGATTTTTCGAGTAGGGTCCAGAAGAAAGACAATTTGATATCAAAGGAAAACTAGTGTAGTACTGAATGTCAGAGTCTTCAAACCGAGCTAAATCTCCAGGCTGAACTCCACTTGGATATCGTCGATAGCGACTATAGTATTCATCAGTGAAATGGTTAGAACACACCACTATATTGTATGACATGATGGTACCCGTAGCCATTCCGCTCATCTCGACGAATGGCGGCAATCCAAGACTTTCTTGTGTCCAACTCGTCACTGCTCACGCTCTTAGCTTCTCCAGTTTTCGATTCCTTGCTAGCAGGGAAGACATTGAACAAAGTATTTTGTCTGAACGTCGGTCGCTGTTGCACTGCGGAACGCAGCAGTGATCGCCTTTCCCATGGCTAAAAAATCTGGAGAGATCTTCTAGAAAACAAAACTAAACCCTTTACAAGAACTAGGCAGAGAAAATCCAGTGACCGTCCTCATTATATTATTCTAGAATGTTGATCGCGATCGCGATCGCTTGAAGAAACATAGCTTTTGAAAGACACAAGGAAAACAAAAAAAAGAAAGTCACTCTTTTCTCGACGCGTGGGTGAGTACACGCCAAATGCGGTGATTGATCGTCGCGGTTCAGGAACAAGAGCTCGCGCGTGACTCGTAATGCACTGCATGTATGGTGTGCCCGGGTCACGCATTCAGTACACATGCCATGCCCCGCCAAGTCACTGTGTGTCTTATTTGGCAAAAGACCTATTGAAAATGACCAAATTCTGCAGTGATCGACCTTCTCTGTGGTGGAGCTAAGCCTTTCGTACGTCATCACTGCGCTGGTCGTTATGGCAACGTGAGTATACAATTAGTGGTTTGGCAAGTTTGGCTTATCGTATGAAAGCGAGAGATATGCCATTCGAACCGATATCAAATTGTCTTTCTTCTGGACCATACTCGAAAAATCGATGCACTTCCCCTTTAATGCCTTATCGGACCAAGACCATTCACTTTAGCGTCTAAGAAACTACAGGTTCTGCGAGATTCATGGTCATCCATGCTTCTCTGCAAAAGAAGTGATGCTTTCAGTGAAAATTTCCACACAAATCCCTATCTAGTAGGGTGCATTCACCCAGTTTCGGGGGAAGTGCACGAGTTTGAAGGGGAATATAGGAAGGGAACGCCTCAGCTTTCTCCGACCAAAACCATTCTACTCAGAAACCCGCAGACTACAACTAGCGAGAAGTGTAATGTAGACCATACTCCTCGCCCCCCCCCCCAAATTAAAATTAAAACTTGAGAACTTACCCCACTACATCAGGACTGCCAGCACCAGCATGAAGAGCTCCCACTCGTCAAAATACGGCTGTGTGACGTTCTGTGTGCAAATACGAACATGCAAAAACTCAATGCGGGTGGTTGAGAGCTGGTGTCAAGGGAAAAAAAGAAAACATTCACACTCCTGCATGGATATCATGTCCACTCAGGAAAAAAAGAAGGTGCACAACCAACTTTTACAGAAGGGTTTTAGACATTGAGCGAAATGAACTTAGCTCTCTGTGCAAAGTGAACAGCAAGTGAACAATAAATGAACAACTAGTGAACAACAAGCGATCTCGTCTAGTCTAGTAACTAGTCAAACTAGTGATTGGACATAGCGCTCTTGCAAAGCTTGCTGTGTTGAGTACACTAAGCTAGAGGACTCTATCTTCGGCATCTTCAGCTGATTTAAAAATGCTTTTCGCAGTCCTCTAAGTGTAGGCAGCACAGCAAGCTTTGCACAAGGGGGTTTAGACATTGAGTCCTCTATGTGCATGCAGCAGAACAGCAAGCTTTGCACAGCTGGCTATTTCCCATACTCTGCACCTGGAAATCTGGTCTAGTATTGTCGTTGGCTCGGCGCGCAGTTATCCAGGGTACTGTGTAAGCCGCAGGACTGGCCTCATGAACCTCTAAGCCAGCACACACATGTCATTACTTCTCTTTAGAAACATAGCTGCAGTGTTTGATACTAGCATGGAAACGGTGGCCATAGCTGTGAGGTGCCTTAACCCTTTATGTACCGGCCCCATCTCGAAACGTAAAAAATATTTACGGTTGAGCGCGCCAAACCTCGACGCGCCGTTCGGCGGCGTCCTTTCTCTGATTGACTCGACAGCTGAGATCCCACTGACGATTTTGATGTATGATATTGGTGGGTCGCCATTTGAAAGTATGGAGACCGATCGCAGCGAAAAGTGCGCTTCCCAAATGTAGCGCTGTGCGATATATGTTGCCAGTTTCGATCGTGTTTACATTCCGTCACGCTGCTGCTAGTAAAGATATAGCCTTCTCCAGCTAATGTCGACATCCTCTAGTCGTGGTGGACACCTGGAGAGAGCTGAAGCAGCGATATCTCCTCAGGATCTGAATCGAAACTGCTAATTTTCATCGCTGAAGCCATCCCAGCATTGGTTCTCCAAGTAGCAGCGAGAGGGAGGGCAGCGATGGCATAACATCATAAACACAGGCGGAGGTCTTCCCCTAGTTCCTATTTCTTATCTTCTCAATCACCAATCCTCCCTGGATGCAAGTAGATCAGCAAAAACAGTAAAAGTAAAAAAGTTTGCACGTCCGCGTTACCACCGGCTATACAATTGCGTTGAGAAACACAACCAACTTAGGAAGTTTCGCATGTGCCAGGCCACCACCATGCCTGTGCTACCAGGGTGGCAGATGCAGCGCCTAACGGCGAGGGTGAGGTGGTAAGTCTCACAACCAATGCCCGACAAGGGGGCTAACCTCGTTAGCTGCATCCATGTTACCCTCACTCCGAGTAGTGAGTACCCAGTTGACCGTGGGTGTCGGCGCAGTTCACTGCATGTAAAGTGGTTCACGCATGCATCACCGCATTTGCTAGCACAGTACACGCTCCCTGCTTCCAGCGCAGGTCTCGAACTCGGGACCTTGTGATTTGCAGGCAAGCCCACAACCACTCGGCCAAAGCGCTGGTCAACATAACATTATTTCAAATCTGAAATAATTGCGATAATTTGAGCATTTGATGCAATTGTTTGCGTCTGGTATTTAGACGACACATCCGTTTTCCGTCCTTTCTGTTGCTGTTCATGCATGCAACTAGTGCCTGTGGTGTTCTTCAGTCACTGTGCATCCCAATGGCTGGCGCTAACACGTCTATACTTAATTTCAAATGTAGCGATCTCAATTATCAGAAGTACACACAATTGGCTCATAAGTGGGTATTCCGTGTGTGTCCTCTACCTATAGCTGCTTGCTGCATTACAATATGTTGGCGAATAGACCCATTCATTACCATGGATTCAGAAAAACATAACTTGCACTCACAACATTTTATGTGTCTAGATGTTATCCTATAGGTCCATCATTGACGAGGAGTACCCCACACATACATTAGATGCTTGGTACATACAGGGGTAATTTATCCCAGTTGCCACGCATGAAAATATTACACCATTGTGACTGGCATTATCCATCAGAGAAGGATGAGCTGAAGTGGTGTCTTCTTGCCCTAGCTGCGTAGCTGCCTTAGCAAACACATTCTTAAGTTTATGCTTCCCTAAGGCCCACTGCCATGTCCTTTTCTTGAATTCTGAGATACTTGTACAGAAACAGATTCAATGTTGGTATACATGTACTTGAGGAATGGTGCATCGTCCGTCACAGAATCTGTGGGCCAAGATCATTCTGCCCACAAATTTCGATTTTTCCGTAAGTTCCCATCTTTTTGAAAGAGACTCGTGCAAAGACTAACCTCTGGACGTGGTGGTGCTGTAGGTAGATGTTCAGCAGCCCGTCTATGGAATGGTGTTCCAGGATGTTTGCCCCAATACCAGAGCACATTCTGAGCAGCAGACACAAGTACTTGTCAGGAGTGTAGCAGTCGATCCGGCCGGTCCGGCTTTGGCCAGACCACTGTTTTACGCAATGCCCAAAGTGCCCAGAATGCAGGATTTTGCACCCTAATTTCAAAAAGACCCCCCCCCCCCCCAACCGGCTGCACCACCTCCAACGGCGGTGGTACGAGCCTGCACCTGGCCACCATGCCTGCAGGGTACAACTTGTAGCTTGTTTGGGCGCGTTCCTGTCACTCCAGTTAAACTCGAGTTGGAACCTTTGTGTGAAAGTTGTAGCCTGCAGGCACGGTGACAAGGTGACTTGTGCACGCATGAGCACGTGACCGCTTATTCAACTATGTTCGATTGGGAATAAGGGCCGAAAGCTGCATCGCAGCTTTCTCGGACCAAAACCAGTCAACTCAGCATCCAACAGACTACAACAGACTAGTATGGGCCAATCACGGTCATCCGTGTTTTTAAGAACGAAATGCCGCTTTTAGTGACATTTTGCATACAAATGCCCATCCAGTATTGCTCAGTCACCCAGTTTCGGTGGAAGTGCGCCAGTTCGATTGGGAATAAAGGAGGAACGGAGGGTCTCAGCTTCCTCGGACCAATACCATACGACTCAGCACCCCGAAGAAAAATTTGAATTTAGGCTTAACCCTTTCACTGCCGCTGTCGACTCCAGTCTACAGCCCATTCATGCACTCCGAGTGCCGCTGTCGACTCCAGTCGACCAGCAAGAATGCAGTTCCCAGCGCTGTATGAGAGACAAAATTTCCCTGCTCTGTGCGTTCACTAGATTGAGACTGAGCGTAGTTTTGCAAACTATTCCTAGCTCTACATTGGACTAGTTTTGTGTACCAGCTAGACGTAAACTCTAAATAAGTAGATTACCATGGCTTCGCATGAGACATCTCCATTGACCGTCCCCTTTAGGAAGAAGGGTAAACTTCGTCCGCGTGATGTTTTACGAACATGGGTAAAGAAAGTGCCGGTGCCATCACCGATGCCACCTTTAATCCAGGACATTTTCCTGTGATCGTCGAAACGAGCTTCGCTCCGATCGAGCGTATGCTGTTAGAGCCCCAGCTCCATCCTCTGGTCGACCTGGTTTCAGAAGCGTTTGATGCTTTCACCATAGAGCCTGTGACAGAAAGCTGGTTTGCACATCAGCGTATCCAGGGCGTTCCTCGCTTAGAGGAATTTCGACGCGCATTCTTTGCGTCGGGTGTCGTGACTGCTGCCAAGCACTACTCCGCTTCCCACCGTAATCTTGGTGAAGCTATTGACCGACAAGCTTCACTGTCAAGCCTGAAGCTCACACATCTTCGGTCAGTAATGACGACTGCCTCAGTGTATGGACCTGTCGATGATGCAGGTCTGGGTATTCAATATCGTAGTCCCCAGCCTGTAGTAGCGAGGTCAGACGCGTGACCAGTTCACGGACTTCGCTTGTCGCGCTTGGCCCATCCCCGGCCCATTGAAAATCGATGATGTAATGGCACATAGGTTTTTACTCGATTTTTCGAGTTTTACGGGAGGCATCAAAACTGACCTGCGTTTGAACTTCGCTTGTGCAGTCTCCTTGCTCTTTTTGGGCGATTTCAAGTTTCTAGTCCTTTGGTAAGGATATGGAGCAATGCCTCCACCCGTTCGCGCGGCGTCCAGACGTTTCTCTGTCGACGCGCTGTCTCTCGCTTTTTGCCAATATTCGAGGGCGGATTTCGGTCCTTGCGCCTCTTGTTACGCCTTAGGTTGATGCTGCATCGTGTTCAGCGCCCCTAATCCTTCGGACTACCAAGTTTCATTGGCGTAACAAGAGGCGCACCGACGTTATGGCTCCCGACTGGTGTCACTGTCCAGCAAGGAGGATTGCTTTGGGAAGGCATGTGCACCAATCTAAAAAGCAACAGAAGCAAGCGAATCGCCATCAATCCGATTAAACTTCGCTTGCGTCTGGTGTGCAGCATTTTGTATCTATTCAGAAGCTTGTTGGTGATGAAGGCAAGGAGATGGCTACTTCAGTCCCGGTCCTAGGTACTGTTTCGGAAAGCTATGTCTTTCTTGCAAAGTTTTGTCCAATTGTATGCATCATTTCAGAAATGGAAACTATTTCCAAATTTCCAATGCTGTCAGTGTTACTCAGTCAAGGCAACACTACAAATAGTTGTCAGCCAAACATAACCTGTGTGAGAGAGAAAGTGAGGAACGTTCACTTTCACACAGACCATGTCTCTAACAAAGTCTCTCTACTGTACTACTCCAGAACAAACAATACGTTCGAGCACAATTATGTTTTCAAATTCCTGATCGTCTGCAGAAACTTGTCTTGAGAAAGCGCTTCTTCCGACATCATCCATCAACAGCAGCCACCGCTCCCGTTGCCACCAACTCGTCATTGGATCCCAAATATCTTACCATCACCGGTTCACAGCAAATAGTACATGCACTGGCGATCCTTGAAGACAATTGCACATTTCCCTTCTCTGCAGAGGAACAAACATTTTCTCTTCAGAAAGTAATAGTTTTCGGCTCGAGTGCTGCACGCAGCGGTGCCGCTAGCATAGCGAAGTACACGCACGTGACACGCGAGATTACATCATGCACTCTCCGTCGCGACTTGGGACCCGAGTGCCGGGTGCCATTTTTCGAGCTCCCACGCGTACATTCGTCGCGACAAAAAAATCACGTAGTCGGGCTCCTTTCAACACCCATAACTCTCTTCCAGTTGCTCTAACCCAGCCCAAATTTTAGATTTGAACGCCTGAAGCTCTAAGCTTTCCGTAGATACCCAATTCGATAGGGTTTTCCAAAATTTAATTTTCGCCTGACCTCGCTACATGTAGCCACCGTGAGGGCCATGGTGCGAGCTGCACATCGGACTCTCACCCTCCCCGCCGATTGGGTGGAAGAGGTTTTTCAAACCTACTGGACTCCAGTAATGGCGAATGACCTCTGTTCCCACCTATTGATAGCGGTCGCAATGTGCGATCACTTTCGTACCCATCCGCGTATGCGCCGGTACTCCTGGGACCCTCATTCGTTAACCTCGTACTTCTTTGATGGAGACGTGGCAGGCTCACCGCCTGGCTGGCCAGCTCTTGTAGCTTTTGACCGTCGCTATCGACTCCTAGACGGATTATTTGGTAGACGTCGTGTATGGTTGGACACCCCACTTGCGTGGGTTGGACAGTGCCGTGCACTTGCCACATTAATCCCTGGGCTTTTGACCCATCGCCATCTCGCCGTTGGTGATTTGCGGTGGAATACCAACATCTCGACGATGACTGACGAAATTGTAGATTCTTGGGCTCGCTTTGAGCGTGCTCTGCCAGCGAGAATCACCGTTCTTGACACCGATAGCACGTCAAAAATCCTGCTTCTCTAGTGCAATTCGATCGTACTGAGAGAGTAGGTGCAACCACCGCCGTGTTTTTAACACGTCCGCTATCCCCGGTGGAAACATCCATGGCGCTAGCATTTGGCCCGCTAGCTACCATGAACAGCACAGTTCCGTTGAACTGCAGCACGGCTGCGAATGTGCTGATCAAACAGATCATCCGCTACTACATCAGCAAAGATGTGCGCCAACCTTCCTCGTCGCAAGGGGCGTGAAACCTAGATCAGTTAGTTGATCGCAACTGGTGAAGGAGTCGTTAACCCTTTACCAGCCGTACATAGTGCGAATGCGTCGAATTCGACGCATTCGTTTTTCGCTCTGTAAACCATGGTCTTTTGCCGCACCGCGGTCGGAATAATCGCAAACTACTGCTGAAAACCTACGGAATCACCTACCATCGAGAAAACCGTGTGCTGCACATCCTTTTTTTCGAGAAAATCGCGGTTGAATGCACCTGGGTGAAGTTGAAATTTCAAGCGTGACGCACTTCATGCTGAGCACTGTACAAACAGCTATAACTTCGGTCTGGCTACTTCAAATTCAACAAATGACGGCTCATTGGAAAGCTATTGAACGCAGCTTTCCAACGATGTTTCATTCGATATAGCGCGAAGTAAAATACTCAAGCGCCGAAGCTCGAAGTCCAGGAAACAGGTGAAGTTGAAATTTCAAGCGTTTGACTCTGGCACATTTCATGCTAAACGAGCATAGAGCAGTGTACAAACTAGGGGTCAAACGGGTGTACCGGGTACCCGGGTACCCGCCCGTTAATCTCAGGTACCGTTAGTAAAAGGGTACCCGTTTGTATAATAATAATAAAAAAAAAAAAATAAAAAAAATAAAAAAAAAAAGTGATCCTATCGTATTCCAGGACTCAAAATAGGAGTGCGGATACTCTTTTCCTTTTTCCTGTGCATTCCCGCTTTCGACTTTATCAGGCAGAATCAGGCTGAAAGACAGACTTGACAGTTGTTCTCTCCACTCTAGTGCAAGTAAAAATCCTCGTACTGGAGGTTTTTGATTGTGATGTGAGAAAATGCAAGACTTGAAACTCGTTCGAGGTGGCAGCTGAGTAACTAGAAAGTTACGATGGTTCTCCGACATCGAACCTGCCACAGTACTTGATGAACTAGTGTCACCAGGCTGAGTGACCAGTCGGAGTGTCACAAACGGTGATGTCCGTAGGTGGTAGCTACATGTATGATACTCATGGTTGTAGTTTGTTCCTTCAATCGACGAGCTGAAAAGTAGTTCGAAATATTGCATACAAGATTACCGGGATTTGTGAAGATTCATTTCACAAGTTCAACAAGCTAGCACTAGCAGCTAGCTGGCCAGCAGCACATCAGCTGTGTCAGGCACCCCAGCTCCAGCTAGCTATGGGTGCGAACATCTTCTGAATGCAACGAGTACCAGTTCTCTGCGAACGTAGCAAATAGGATTGCGCGAGATCACGGAAGTTTTGCTAAACCACTCTGTCCTTGCATGGCTTGAATTACATCGATCTGCAGTTGATTTGCGTAGTGTATCAAAATACATGTAGCTTGTAGGACCATCTACATGTTCGATTGTAAGTTACTGCCTGTGAAGTTATGTACATGGGCAAATGCACGGATGACATTCATTTGGAACCTTCATTGCCATAATAATATTATGATACACGAATCATTTGCGAATCATAATGTAGTATCAAAATACAACCTGAGAATATACAAATTAAAATCATGATTTATGTGAGAAATGCGCAAAAAAATAATATGACTGCTAAAGGGTACCCGTTAACCCGCCCGTTAAGAAAATTACCCGTTCGTTAGTTAAAGGTACACCCGTTTGACCCCTAGTACAAACAGCTATAACTTCGGTCTGCCTACTTCAAATTCAACATATGAAGGCTCATTGGAAAGCTATTGAACGCAGCTTTCCAACGATAATTCATTTGATATAGCGCGAAGTAAAATACTCAAGCGCCGAAGCTCGAAGTCCAGGAAACGGGTGAAGTTGAAATTTCAAGCGTGTGACTGTGACGCACTTCATGCTAAATGAGCATAGAGCACTGTACAAACAACTATAACGTCGGTCTGCCTACTTCAAATTCAACATATGACGGCTCATTGGAAAGCTATTGAATGCAGCTTTCCAACGATGTATCATTCGATATAGCGCGAAGTAAAATACTCAAGCGCCGAAGCTCGAAGTCCAGCAAACGGGTGTAGTAGAAATTTCAAGCGTGTGGCTGTGACGCACTTCATGCTGAAGTATGTGTTTGCGCCCCGGTGCACAGCCCATGCGCGCATATGCGTGACATGCACCAAAAATGAGCGCTAGAGCAGCCTGGTTCTGCTGGTGTTTGAATCTTGACAGATGAACTGGTGCATGAGCTGAAGCTGAACAGTGTACATAATTGTCATGGTCCTCGAATTTGCTAATTCGGCCGCATTGCTCGAGTTATTGTTCGCCATGAATGGCAACGTTTCTACATGTTATCAGCTTGGTTTTAGTCTCATATGAAAGGTAATTCTACCAGCTTTCCAGAACTATAAAGGTGTCATTACAAATTATTTACCGTTTAGTCTCTATTATCAATCTAGTGGACTCCGTTTTTTTACATATAAATCCTGCGGCTGGTAAAGGGTTAACTTCCAAAGGGTTGGACGATCCACTACTTGTATATAGTGTGATTACCCCCCCCCCCCCCCTTCGCCCAGTTTGGGCCACTATTTTGGGGTATTGGAGATGTTTAGCTGCCATAGAGGGTCACTGGGCCCTGGAAGAGGTCCATATCCATTGAAATACCGTATTTTCCGGAGTATAGTGCGCACCTTTGTATATCGCGCACCCCAATCTTCATTGGGGGCGCGCACTTCAATCTTCATTGGGGGTGTGCACTTCAATCTTCATTGAAGTACATGCATTTCATACTCGGAGCATAGTGCGCACCTGCGATTTAGGGCCTAAAATAGCACATCTTAAGGGCGCACTATACTCCGGAAAATACGGTACGCTGCCAGGAGTATGGGTTGGCATTTGAAAAAAATCGAACCATCATCGAATCGAAAAATCGAATCGGTGTCGTTGAAAATGCGTATTCGATTTTTGGCCGAGCGGCGCTGAAAAAGTTGGTTCCCATGCATTACCTCCTCGCTGAGTCGGTGCGAGTATTTTTCTCTTTCCCGTCAACTTTCATTGCATGGAGCATGGAATTTGATTCAGACTTGATGCCTAGCTATTACCCAAGACTCCAGGGGGCTATCCATTGCAACAGGTAGTTGGAGTCACGGGTAGAGACCACCAAACGACGGATTCCTCACGAACGAATTTTGGATGCAGCTACAAACTTGATGGAAACAGCGCTTTCCTGAGAACTAAAATGTAACAGTGGCGACCAGCACGGTCAAGGGACACTACAGGTATGTCAGCTAGAACACAATTATTCTTTCCGCAACGACATCTACCTCCTGCCGATCTACTGCAAGCTGATGCGGAAGTGCATTACACCCGCGAACGAAGCGCTTGTCAACGGAACAGGGAAGCGCTTCATTCTCCAAAGTTGAAAAGATGTTGCTTGGACTGCTGATAATTAGGAAAACAAAGGGCCGCCATGTCGGCAGACCAATCCGCGGCCGTTTAGCCACACGATCCGCTTCACGAAAGGACTCACGATCGTTCCCCAAGTGTTCTGCAAGCAACAAGAATTGCGTCTGCAGCGACAGGACGAAAGTCTCTCGCAAACTGAAGTCCTGTTGCCACGAAGACAGGGAAGTTTCAGCAAGCACTTTCTTTTGCTTCAAGTGTTGTAGCTCTCCGGTCTACTGGCAGATCTTTCAATCCAACCGAACGAAAACAGGACTTGCTTCTCTCTCCAAAACAACGTTTCGTTTACTTCGCAACTGGCCCCAGGCCGCACACATGGTGTACATGTACTGTATGTAGTGCATGCGGCGCGCGGCGCACTATTGCATGACATGACATGACTTGTTGCACTGTGGCTGGCGCTAGAACGAGCGCCCTTAAACTTCGGATTTTGCGATTTTTTTGAAGGTAATAGCTTCCTTTATCAGTTGTTTACCTACGATATATACTTTAGAAAGCGATATTCCGCACAGAAAGTACCAAAAGATCGAGGAAAAGTTGGCCTTTCGATTATTTGAACTGGAGGTAAAAAGCGACTGGCACTGGGGGTGCTGAGCTCACCTAACAGCCTGGCATTGAGTGCCGTGTCACTTGAGCAGTCAGCTGGCAGTGAAAGGGTTCAACCCATGCAACATATACGATATATTTTCGTTGATCCCATCTATTTTGGTCCGTCCATTGATAGCAGTAATAGGGTCTTGTTTTGGCCAGACGAGACCACACGATTCTTGCAGACACCAGCACAAACAGTTCACCAGCCACACTCCACACAACAAAGCAAGTAGTTACTCCTGACAAGTAGACAGCTTTCAATTCGTGCACATTTGAAAGCTAGTCCGGGATGTCGTCAGATGTATCGTGGTGATACGGTTTCAGTGTACTGTGTCGTGCTGGTCGTTTGTCACAGTTGAAGGTGTTGGAAGCTGTTACAGTCAAATCTGCCGTTAGCGACCTCTGCTGTAGGCGACCATCTACCGTTAGCGACCGATTTTCCGTGCACCGACGGTTTCACACACAAACTGATCTGTCCAGAGCGACCATCTGCTGTGCGCGACCAGCGACCGCGATTTCATGCACGGTGGATGCATTCAAATCTGCTGTAAGCGACCGCAACCCAGGTTCAGTCAGGCGCGAAACTGTACTTGCCAGTGCGCTGTCAACTGCAAGGTGTGAAAATGCGCTGTCTTGCAAGTGCGATCGACTGGCCCTGGCCTGTACTCAGGCTGTGCTGTAGCTCTCAAGTCCAGGCAGTGTCTATCTACTGCCGTGTCGCATACGCGTACTATACGGGTATGGTCGTCGTTGAATATCCAATAAAATGATAATTATAAGAATCACATTACTCTCGTCGATTTGAGTACATGGAAGCATATACCCGGTATGCCGGATTTACCATACATCTGCCGTAAGAGACCATCTGCCGTAAGAGACCGCTTTTTCTTGCACCAAGGGGCGGTCGCTTACGACAGATTTGACTGTATATCAAAGGTTGTTATTCGCAAGGTTGACTGTACTTGCTGTCACAGACTGTAGCTGGCGAACTGTTAGTGCTGCTGTGGGCTCTCATCTGGTCAAAAGAAGAAAAAGAAGAAGTATTTCCATTTCAAGACATGCATAACTTTATAGAAGGTTCCTAGGAAAACCACGAGTGTACAAAAGCTTTAGTCCTCACCCTTCGTCTCTCAGGAAGGCAGTACTCCTTACACTGGATGGAAGATAGAGAGAGATAGATGGAGAGGAGGGAGGGGGAGGAATGGAGGCAGTTAGTGATGAAGGAAGGAAGGGAGAGGGAGAGGGAGAAGGAGAGACAGAGACAGAGACAACGACAGAAATACGGACAGACAGATAGACAAACAAACAGACATACAGAGACAGATGGACAGAGAAACAGTGGAAGCAGTGAGAACGGATGAACAAATAAAGAAAATGGGTGCAAGAAAAGTCAGCTCCATTGCAACGCTACCTCTTTGTTGGTCTGACTTAGTATAATGTGCATTTCACTTCCGAAGTCTCACAAGCAAATGAATACAATCTCAGGACGGAGTAAATTTGCCAGCAACCTAATACTGTCCCTCAGTTGTCAGTTTGTGATGGTGAAGAGGGAAATGGCTTGAACTCCAAAGAAGGTAGCACCTAAAACTCCTAGGGGACTTGAGCATACCGTGTCAACATTGTTTTGTCAGACAACTCATGTTGCTTCATAAGAAGCTATGGAGAAAGCCTGGCACTGGTATCAAGACTCAATGCGATGGTGTTGCAAACCACCAGTTCTCAAGTGGGAAAGGCCTTCGCGCTTATGGCATTGTATTCGTTGCAATGTTGTATTTCGACTCCGCCGTACCGCTGATGTTGCTGCATGGCATACGCTATATGCGCTGTGTGCGTTTTTACTGTATACGCTGTTATGTCCCGTTTTATATGCGTATGTTTTTGCATGTACGCTGTTTTGCATGCTATAAATAGCTGGTGTTATTAGTGTTCATTGTTAATTATTCGATGAAGTTAAATATACTGTGTAAAGGAAAAGAGTTGTCCTCATGCCGTGTGGTCGTACGATCCTGACAATTTAGAGAATCTTAGAGGGTTCACAACAGATGGAGAAAAGTCACCGAGCACAACAAACTCCTTGGTGCTCATTCTTGACTGCCACCTGGTGTATTGAAATTGCTCCAGTCACAGTTTCCTAAACAGAATCTCAGCAGAGGTGTCATCCAGAAACAAATACTGCTCTGCCGAGTCTGTTGATCTCTCTCGCCATCGTTTTCTATGGTGGTGAACGAATCAAGTTCACTGAAGAGATTGCTGAGAAGCTGGTCAAAAATCAAAAATACACAATCATCACTGGGGTCCCCTCTTGTACTAAAACCGGCTGGAAATCCGAACAAACAAGGAGTGATAGCTCTACGAATCCGGTGGTACGCAGATGGTGCTGCCAAGTTTTCGGATCAGCGAGGCGCCATTACTACAAGCCTATGCTGAAACTTTGTCACAAGATCGCTTGTTTCCAGCAGGCCATTGATTCGTACAGCGGTGATGAGCATGCATGGCCGGACTGTTATGGAACAGTTAAAGGGGAAGTTAAGGCAAAAATTAAAATTTCACGAGTTGTAGTCTTCGGGGTGCTGAGTCGAATGGTCTTGGTCCGAGAAAGCTGAGACGCTCCCTTCCTACTTGAATCCCAATCGAACTCGCGCATTTCCACCGAAACTGGGTGACTGCGCCCTACTAGATGGGGATTTGTATGCAAAATGTCACTAAAAGCGCCATTTCGTTCTTATAAAAGCACGGATGACCGCGATTGGCCCATATGTCGTAGTCTTTTGGACGCTGAGTCGACTGGTTTTGGTCCGAAAAGGCTGCGATGCAGCGTTCCTCCTTTATTCCCAATCGAACATGGTTGAACAAGCGGTCACGTGCTCCTGCGTACACCAGTCACCTGGTCACCGTGCCTGCAGGGTACAACTTACTAGCCTGTTTGACCTTTTTTGGGTGCAGTCCTGTCGCTCGAGTTGAACTCGAGTTGAACCTTGGTGTGAAAGTTGTCGCCTGCTGGCGTGGTGACCAGGTGATTTGGGCACCCAGGAGCACGTGACCACTTGTTCAACCATGTTCGATTGGGAATAAAGAAGGAACGCTGCATCGCAGCCTTTTCGGACCAAAACCAGTCGACTCAGCGTCCAAAAGACTACAACATATGGGCCAATCGCGGTCATCCGTGCTTTTATAAGAACGAAATGGCGCTTTTAGTGACATTTTGCATACAAATCCCCATCTCGTAGGGCGCAGTCACCCAGTTTCGGTGGAAGTGCGCGAGTTCGATTGGGATTCAAGTTGAAAGGGAGCGTCTCAGCTTTCTCGGACCAAGACCATTCGACTCAGCACCCCGAAGACTACAACTGGTGAAATTTTAATTTTTGCCTTAACTTCCCCTTTAACGGTGACAATAAATGATTTTTGTGAAATGGTGTACGATGTTGAGTGTTCCCACATGGGAAGAAAATGACGATGGTGAGATGAAGCATCGAGACACGCTACCACCCACTGCAATTGTCTAGTGCAACTGTCTACCACAAATCATGCTGCCCTAAAGTGATGTTGCTGATGGCAATTGTGCATCCCAGGACCGATCACGACTTCAACGGTAAAGTCGGGACATGCTCTTTCTCGGAAGTCAGGTTGCGCTTTCCAACGGCCGTAAGAGAGTTGGAAAGCACGTGTCTTTGTGCGTAGCCATGACAATCATGGTGGTTCAGTGCGAGTCTGCGCAAAGCAGACACAGCCCAACGTGTTCACAGTGGCCTACTTCCTTGATAGAACCAGAACCCTCCCACCCACCCACATCCGGTGGTGAACTTAGCACTTACATGTCCGTCTTCTCACCCACCCACATTTGGTGGGGAACTCAGGAATATTGTGTTCTTTCTTTCTCGTGCATGTTTTGGTATTGTTGTTGTGTTTTTGTTGTTTTTGTTGCTTTTGTGTTTTGTTGTTTTCCGCATTGTTAATTGGGTACGCTGGGCTGTCGGCCTACATAGGCTCTCAGCGGCAGCAAGGGGTGGGGTATGTTGTATGGGGCAGGTGTGTGTTGCAGGGGCAGGATGTCTGCTGGCTGGTTTTTTTTTATGGGATAGCGTGATTGCTGTGTCTGTGCACTGCATATATTGCAGTGTAAGATGATTCTGTATTTTATAGTTTTAAAAAATTTACAGTAATAATTATACTATTATGGTGAAAAAGGAGGACAAAATGTTACGAGTTATGACTAACTGTCCACCAGCGTGACCAGATCTTATACAGTCAGCGAGTGCGACAAAATGGCAAAATTACTGACAAGGAGTACTGAGACATTCGGCTACCTGACACCTAGCTCCAACACTTCTCCAAGGCACAAACCAACAACTTTCCAACTTGGAAGGCTCAGGTTCGGAAGGTCTTGGAGAAGTGTTGAAGCTAGGTGTCAGGTCGCCGAATGTCTCAGTACTCCTTGTCAGTTTTGTACCATTTTGTTGCACTCGCTGACTATATAAAGATCTGGTTACGTTGGTGGACAGTTGGTTATAACTCGTAACATTTTGTCCTCCTTTATCACCATAATTTAATTGGCTCGCCATCCGAGTTGAATTATACGATTATACAATAAAGGTCATTGCCAGCCACTGGCTATGCAACTCTGTTGTTGTTTGCTGTGTTGTACGGGCAGAGCACAAAGACGGAGTATTTCATTACACGTCATGCCATTGTTGTGAGACTTACACTCCGGCAGTCAGGGTGCTCCAAATTAACGACACATTGCTGTGGACACTGATCGATGGCTGACAGCAGTATTACACACTGTTCGGCCTACAACACACACACACACACCACAGGACAGAGAAAAGAAGAACTCCCATGGATTTAAATAATCGACGTGGAGACAACAATTTTATAATAGCAATAAAAAGAACAAATTCTGCAGTCATCGCCACACTACAACGAAGTCATGAAAGTTTACCAGAATTAATTTTCTTGTCACATTCATCAGTGGAAAGTCGTGACTGAAGAGTAACCATGCTGAACAATGATTAAATATACATTCAATGATGTGTTACGAGAACAAAATACACATTACCCGTATCGAGAGCCTTGGAGTCGGGTAATGGGCATATTGTCACCACAACACAATGCACCATAACAACAACACAAGATAACACACCACAACAACATTCAGCTCAAGACCAAAGTGGACGCTGTGATGAGGTAATGCCCTCATCGCCGTCTTTGCCGTTGCCTCCCCCAGAACCGCCACCTACATCTATCATCGGCGGTGCTGGGGCTGAGTCTGTGGTGTCGGTGGCACGTGCATATATGGATGAGGCAAGCACTGATTGTGAACAACGAGAAAGAAGGCTGAAGGGAACGGAATTCAACAAAGAAAGTAACACAATCAACATTCAAAGACCTAGACGATCAACGGCTAATTATTCAATGAATTATTACAGTACTGGAGATCAAGCACCGGCGAGGACACTGGGAACACAAGATTTAACAACAACAACAACAACAACAACAACAACAACAACAACAATGGTAACAAGTTGCCATCAAGATCAAAGGACGAGTCAACGAACAGAGGTTAAACAACGTCAAACGAGCCTGGGACCGATCAGTGTTGACGAGGAGAATGACACGGAGGACGACACTGAGGACGAGTTGGGAGATGAAACGGAGGACGAGGTTGCGGTTGTTGGAGACGAGGAATCAGATGGTGATTGTGATCGTAAGAAGTCTGCCGTTTTTCTTCACTTGTTGTCTCACCCTAAGTGTCTGCAGGTGTATGATGATTTTAGTTTTTCTGTTCTTTGTCGTGCACGGTATGCTAGTCAGTTGAAAGTCCTTGAGGCTGTTTGTATTCGTTTGCATAAGCCTGATCTTTGTAAGCAGAAGAAACATGTAGTTGCGTTAAAATTGTTTTCGTAGGTGCACAGCATGATTGTTTGTCTCACTACACAGTTTTAGCGTTATAATTATTAGTTTTTCACCCACTGTTGCACTTAGCTCTCACTTCACTGCTATTGTCTCACCTTCCCTCTTTCTATTTTGGCACTGTATTTTGTTCTCGTAACACATCATTGAATGTATATTTAATCATTGTTCAGCATGGTTACTCTTCAGTCACGACTTTCCACTGATGAATGTGACAAGAAAATTAATTCTGGTAAACTTTCATGACTTCGTTGTAGTGTGGCGATGACTGCAGAATTTGTTCTTTTTATTCCCATGGATTTAGTTACACAGCAGTACCGATACTTATTTTCACAATAGGGCTTGAAAGTGCTACGTCACAGCATAGCAATGGCATAGCAATGGCATAGCAACAATTTGAAAAATTCAAAAACTGGATCCACCTGGATCCAGTTTTTGTATGGATCCAAGCACATTTCAAGCGGTCTTACTCACAGCAAGGTGATGTAGCCAGTGAGACTGACTGATTTGGCTATTGGGGGCGGGGTGACAACTGGTGGCGAAGTAAAAGTCGCACCTGCATACGACATGAGTGGGATGCTATGCACCCACATACTGAGGCAATAGCAAAGTCACACCTTAGTGGATCCAAAATAGAAATCTGATGTCAACTTACTACTCCCAGGCCGTTCTGGAGCAGGTACCAACGTGAGCATTACTCAGAATGATAGAGAGAAAAAAACATGAAAAGAACACAGTCATAGTTCAACTGGAACACATGGAGTAAACAGTGTTACTGTGTTCAGGTATTGGCAGCATAGCGTTGCGGCGCATGGCGAACACGGCTGGATGGTGGTCTGCGACCGGGTGACAGAGGCTTAGCAACTCGAGGAGACTGCGGCACAGGCAGAAGAGGCGGCAGAGTAGAGTTAGCTGGTGGTTGCAGGGCAACATGCACAGGAGCAGGAACACCATACTCAACCTCATACATGGGCTCAATGGAGGAGGGTGAGCGGGAGGGATCAGGGCGTTTGGCTGACGTGGATGGCAACGCACGCACGTGGCGACGATTTCGGGGGCAGATGACCCAGGAGTGAGGTCGATCGTGTAGGAGCGTTCGGACAGGCGGTTCTAGACGTGTCCTGTTTTGTCCATATCGGGGACATACACAGGAGCACCAGGGGCGAGAACAGGCAGCAGTCGAGCACGGTGGCGTTGATTGTAGCGATCAGCCTGCCGAGACCTGGAAGATGTTTCTTTGTCAGCTAGGGCGGTCAAATCGGGCCAGGCTGGAGCAGGGAGGGGTCCTGGTAGCCGGGAGCGGATTTGGCGGCCAAACAACAGCTGTGACGGTGAATAACCGTTGGCCAATGGCGTAGACCGGTAGGCCAAGAGAGTGGAAGGCAAGTCATCGTTCTTGAGGATGAGCTGCTTGGCTGTCTGAACGGCACGTTCTGCAGCGCCGTTGCTTTGGGCGAAGCGAGGACTTGATGTGGGATGGGCATACCCAAGCTCGGCAGCAAATGCACGGAAGCTGGCACTAGCAGATTGTGGACCGTTGTACGAGACTAGCGTGTGTGGAATACCATGGGTAGACAACACGGAGTGGAGAGAGGCAATCACAGCGGCAGACGTAGTAGTGGTAAGTTGTTTGACTTCGATGTAGCGCGAGAAATAGTCGACAACAACTAGGTAAGGGGATCTTTTGGCTGCACACAGATCACACGCGATCTTTGACCATGGAAGAGATGGCAACTCGGACGAGATGAGCGGCTCGGCTGGGTTAGGACGGGCCTTGGCACAGGTGGCACAAGACATCACATACGACTCAATGTCCGTAGACATACCAGGCCACCACATCACAGCACGCGCACGAGCACGACACTTACCAACGCCTTGATGACCCTCGTGAGCACTGTCAAGGGCGGCGTTGCGCTGGGATGCAGGGATGATGACACGTTGGCCACGGAAGAGGAGACCATCAGCAGTTGAGAGCTCATCGCGAACAGCGAAGTACGGCGGAGGCTAGCGGAGACCGAGGTGGGCTTGGCTGGCCACCCGTTGAGGATGAGGTCACGGAGGCGACACATGTCGGCATCAGCGTTGGTCGCGTTCCGAACGTTGACCAAGAGCGGGTCGGTGGAGCAATGCGATGTGACGGCAGACACATGCAGCTGTACTTCATCAGCAAGATCACTAGTAGGCGAGGACTCTTGCGGAGCACGGGATAGGGTGTCGGCAATGATGAGTGATTTGCCGGGCACATGGATAGCGGTTGGGTTGTACCTCATCAGCCGAATCAGGAGTCTCTGGCATTGCAGAGGAGAGCGGGCGAGATCAGCGGAGTTGATGAGAGGCACGAGAGGCTTGTGGTCAGTCTCGACGGTGAACTGAGGACCGCCGTAGATGTAGTGGTGGAAATGCTCGCATGCCCAAACGATGGCGAGACACTCTTTCTGAATCTGGGCATAGCGATGCTCAGTAGGAGATAGAGAGCGGGACGCATAGGCAACAGGGCGCCAGCGGGAGCCATCAGGCTGCAGGAGGACAGCACCCAGTCCGTAGCTACTGGCATCAGCACTAATACGTACGCGCTGGTCGGGCGAGAACAGTGCCAAGCAGGGAGCAGTAGTAGCGAGTTCCTTGAGGCGACAGAAGGCAGTTTCTTGCTGGGTGTACCACTGCCAGGCGGTGTCCGCCTCAAGAGACCACGGAGCGGGGCACTGACATTGGCCATATCTGGCACAAACTTTGACAGAAACGTGAACATGCCCAGAGCATGGCGTAACTCGGGCACGTTGGTCGGTGACTTCAGAGCTTGGATGGCAGACACATTGGCTGGGTCTGGGCGGACACCGTCAGCACCGATGAGGTGACCCAGGAACGTCAGGGACTTCATACGGAAGCAACTCTTGGCGGGGTTGAGGAGTACGCCTGCAGAAGCGAGAGCTGCGTGGACAGCAGTGAGGGCAGCATCGTGCTCAGCTAGAGTGGCACCGAACACGAGGATGCCATCCATGAAGACGACCACGTTGGGAATGTGCCCAACGATTTCCAGTAGGCGACGATGGAAAACCTCTGGCGCACTGGTGATACCAAAGGGTAAACGGTTGAAGTGAAACCGGCCAAACGGTGTCATGAAGGTAGTGAGTGACGCACTGTCATCAGCAAGTGGCACTTGCCAGAACCCAGACGCCGTGTCAAGCGACGTGAAGACCTTGGCTCCGGACAGCTTGCCCAGGGTGTCTTCGATGGTCGGCAGAGTGAAGTGTGAACGCTTCAAGGACTGGTTCAGGCGTTTGAGATCCACGCAGATGCGGACGGAGCCATTCTTCTTGAGCACGCGCACCATGGGTGCACACCAGTCGGTCGGATCGATGACTGGAGAGATGACTCCCATCTGGACCATCCGGTCAAGTTCGGTCTGGACCTTGGCTTGCAGGTGGATGGGAACTCGTCGTGCGGTCTGGCAGTGATATGGTTGAGCATTGTCTTGCAGCTCGATGGTAGCTGCAGGACCGGACATGCGGCCAATGACAGGAGGAGCGGACGGAGGGCTTGCGGATGCCTCGGATACATCCCAAGACAGGAGGTTCAGGTCCTGGCACACACTGCGGCTCAGGAGGTTGCTGGGGCCATCAACAACAATAACACGGAACGTGACGTTGCGGTCCTTCCAGGAGCTGGCAGCAACAAATGCGCCGTGCATGGGTAGAGGTTCGCCGTCAGGTCCAGTGACCTTAGTGGAGATCGGCGTGAGCTTAGGTTGAGGACTGAGGCTATTGTAGGAAGGAGTGTACAGTCTGCGCCAGAGTCCAGCTTGAACAACACTGACTGGCCATTGATGGGGAGCTCAACAAGCCAGGGTTCAGTTGAGTCAGGAATGGATACTGAACTCAAAACACAGATACTGGGTTCCTGTGACTCGGATGAAGCACTACCCATAAAATAACTCGCACTAGCACTAGCAGAATCACTCACCGGATGGTCAGACACCTCGCTCGCGCCCACTTGACGAGAGCTACGACACACTTTGGCAAAGTGACCACGACGTTGGCACTTACGGCACTCGACGGACCAAGCAGGACACTCGCGTCGCGAGTGACCACTGGATGAGCCACAGCCGGAGCAAGGAGCGCTCGGAGCAGAGGTTGCTGGCGGGCCACGTGTCGAGTAGCTAGGCGCGGACTGGTGAGATGCAGCGGGAGCAGCCTTCGGTCGGCCAGTTCCACGAGATTGTTTGTGATGTCCGCGAGCGACAGCGGCTGCGACGGAGGGCTGAGTGGCTGCGGAGCGTTGAGTGGCTAGCTGGATTTCGAGGGTCTCAGCTGCCTTGGCCTCCTTGAGAACATCGGCGAGGGTGAGGGAGCCTATGTCCTTTTTCTGCATCGCCTTACTCACTTCAGAATCGGCCATGTGGGCGACGAGGTGATCGCGGATCCGTTCTGACGGCTTGTCGAAACGGCATCTCGCCGCGACAGAGTGGAGTCGGCTTGGGAACGTGGCTACGGACTCACCGGGGAGCTGGCGGAGACGAGCGAACTGCGTCCGTTCGTGGATAACATTGTCCGCAGGTGCAAAGTATTTGTCGAAAGCATCGACCACTTTATCGAAGTCGTCCTTGTCGGAATCCTGGGCGAAGGACAACTCACGCTGGAAGATATCATCTGCAGTTGGGCCCAGAGAGTAAATTAGAGTGGAGATCTGGACGTCTGCGGATTCGGAAGAGAGTTTGGTAGCAATCTGGAAGCGTGAGAATCGGCTTTTCCAGCGGGGCCAATTCTCAGGTGCGGAAAAGTCGAAGCTTTCAGGGGGCTGAAATTCCGCCATGGCGAGCGGGTCCAGTGGCGAGGGTTCGGGGTACCAGTTCTGACACCAAGTGTTGCGTTACTGCAACAGCACTAAAGGGTAAATGCCCATGCACACTCTCTCAGTCCAACACAACCATCACACTCAGGAAGGAATTACAAACTATACTTGATGAAGACAGAAGGAGAAGTGGAGGACACAGGGAACAGAGTAGGCATGTAAACAGCACAGGCACGCAACAGTTACCGCCGGTGCATGCGAGGTGCATGTGCGTACGCGAAGGTGTGAAATAGGAAGCGGGGTCAAATTACATATGGATGCACTATGCCAAATATATAGGCACAGGTAGGTGACTGAACACCCTTCACTTAAGGAATGTTCAACTACACTGGTCAAACATACATCAATACACAGTTTTGGGTTAACTGGAGACAGGGGTGATGTTCTGCTCTACGTTACGGGAACTTCACGCAAAGAATCCCGGGAACACTCTTCGCATTTCGGTAACGTAAAGAAACCTGTTCTGCTCTATGTTCAAGTGGAGAAATCACTTGGAATGTGTACTAGGAATATCCCCTTTGTAGTAGTAGTGATAATGCATGGTGACACTCAGCGAAGCCTTGATAGAAGTTACTGCTAATTCCTTGACCTTTGGAATGACTGTTGCCGGTTCGAATCCCACAATTGCATGTGTTACCTTTTTGTGTCTTTTTCCATTTATGCCAATGATGTAATCATTACTCATTACTCTTTGTAGTAGATAGAGTAGTCACATGAGCTTCTCTGATTGGCTGTTGCTAGGCGCCAGTGCCTGGCCCTGGTATAAAGGCAGTGGTTTGTCCTCATTTCATTCTCTTTCTCTTCGGGTCCTGATGGCGTCGTGAGCTGCTGCTGGCTACTGTTCAAGTACTGTAACTATGACCTTCTCTTCCCTCTTCTTCTATTCCTCCATTGTTGTATGAAACTTTATACCTCACTCCATATACACTTACAGTCTTAGGCATGCTTTCCCTTAGTGGTGTATATGTATAGATTATAGACCGACTATGAGGTCTATAATCTATTTATCGTCTTCTCCACAAACTAATTTCTCTTTTATAATCGACATATCAATGCCTTTTCAAATTTAGATATCCACAGTACAATTTCTATAGCCGAGAAGGGAAATTCCCGGCTTGAACAGGATCTAGGATGCTGTAGTTTTGATCAGTACGGTACCGGATCGCGAGCTCGTGCATTTATGGGAAAATCCCCATACGCTTCTGCCATATCGGTCATTTTCGACTCGAACGCGTGCTTTTATGGGGAAGTCCCTGTACGCATTTGCCATGTCCGTCTTTTTCGACCTAATTTGGCATGCGCACCATGTGCTCGTCCTTTCTTTCAGTATGGCGACTCCAGAACGGTTTGGAACTTCTTCTGAGTCTGAGAGGAGACAAATCGTGGATGATGCAGTTCCCCAGAATACGAAGAGGTCAACTGGCACTTGGGTAACTGCATTCAATGTCTATTGTGGCGATCCGATCGATGTTTCAACAGTTTCAGAAGAAACTCTGGCCAAAAAACTCGAAGGATTTTATGCAGATGCCCGAAGGCAGGACGGGACCACCTACCAACGGGCAAGCTTGATTTCGGCGAGAGGTGCCCTGCAACGTCATGTTGCCAGTGCAGGCAGGACGTTCAACATTGCAACGGGTCCATGTTTCAAGAGAGCTAATTCAGTGCTCAATGGCGTGTTGAAGATGAACAAACGCGAGGGCAAGGAGGACGCAGTAGTCCACAAGGAATCGCTCACTGCTGAAGACTGGGATCGTCTTCAGACGTACTTCACGGACGTCGAAACGTCTAATGATCCGGTTCTATTAGCAAGGTACGTGTACAGCATTTCCTTGTAAATCGTTTTGTAACGTTGTAAGATTTTGAAGATTTTGTAAGACGAAATATTTACACTGAAAAAATCGAGAGTTTCTTGGTTTGATTTGTAGAAGAATAAAAAATCGTTTTGTAACCTTGTAAGATTTTGAAGATTTTGTAAGACGAAATATTTACACTGAAAAATGGTTCAGTTTCTTGGTTTGATTTGTCGAAGAATTCACACTGATGAGTTTCTATGGCGTGTGTTTTTTCATTTTGTAGGTATGTCTGGTTCACGGTTACTTCACAGTTCTGTCTGCGTGGTCGTGAAGTTCAAGCGCAAATGTGCAAATCCGACCTCTCGTTCCAAACTGATGATTGCGGCAAGCCATATATTACGCTGTCCAAGGATTTTGCATCGAAGAATCATCAGGGTGGGCTAGATGGTTCTGCTTTCACCTCGGCAGGCCGGATTCAAGACGAAACGCAAGTGAAGGTCCTTCAACGCTATCTGAAGATAATCAACCCGAATTGTGAGCGGCTTTTCCAGCGAGCCAACCTATCAAGATCCGGCACCGATAAGGTATGCTTATTCATGAATATGCCTCTTTCCCACAATTTGCTTGGTACCATGATGGCCAAGATTAGTGAAGCTGCTTCTTTATCTCGTACATACACGAATCATTGTGTTAGAGCCACTGCTATCTGGCGTATGAAAGCAAACAACGTAGATGATCGGAAAATTTGCTCTGTTTCTGGCCATAAGAGCGCATCATCATTGCAATCCTATGACCGTGTTTCCAATTCTGATGCTAAGGCAATGTCAAGTGCAATTTCTGGTAATAGTGTTGCTTCAAGCAAAGTAGACTGCCCTGCTGAATCTTTGCCACTGGCTGTTTCTAGTCCAGAACCAGATGTAGACCTTCCTTGTGTAGATGACAAGAAATCTCAGGCTGGTTTTGTTTTGAAAGACTGCCAGAATATCACATTCAATGTTCAAAATTCTTGGTTGCAACCAAGAAAGCGCTCATATCCGTTTTCTTTGAAGCTTAACAAGAAGGCTAGGAAGTGATTTTTCTGCCATTGCTTGCTCTTTTCTTAGCTTAGCTCGTGCTTCTGCTGCTTTGCTGTTGCTGGATTTTGTATGTGGTGCTCGCTCATCTTTCAGCATTATTTCCATAATTTCCTAAAAAGGAGTCAAATATAAGCAGTCAAATATAAGCAGTCAAATATATTCCATATTTGACTACTTAGTCAAATATGCAATATATTTGACTGCTTAGGTATCAGGGAAATTAGTGGGGTCAAATACTAAGAAGGCGATAAATCTCCATATACACCGCTAAGGGCGCGTTCAGACTGGCGTAAAAAACAAGCGGAATGTGAAAGTTGTCAAGGTGAATCGCTCACGTGACGTTCCCGCCAGCGTAAACACGGAAAAGGTTTCCCACCACTCCGCAGGCCAGTGGAATGCAGATTCCGGCGGCACGCGGAGCGCTTTTGATATCCTTGCAGCACACGTTCCGTCTTTTCGTTTATTTCATCCTCTACTCTTGCGTGCAGTCTGACTGCATGCATTTGAGTTTGGAGTTTTGACTTCTAGACTGCCAACTAACTTCTCCCATCATGCCGAAATCTTTGTTCGACTCAGCAATGGAGAGGGAGTTCATGGAGCTGTACGTGGTGATTTTTGCGGGCCGCTCTGCAGGCAAAACGCTTACTGCAAACGAGAAGCATACTCTGATCGCGGAGCGGATGAATGCCACCCAAGCACGAAACACTCCGGACATAGTATTCTTTCCGTCGACAAGCACAAGCAAAAGCACAATGATCCAGTATCTCAACAAACTGAATTGGTTTATTTTGATATCCAACTCAAACTGAGTCAACTCAAATTTTTCAAATGTCGAAGCTTCACATGTACTGGCCATTCCAGCGGGATACACGTGCAGTGTGATTGCGATTCCCGGGATTACGCTGCAGCATTCCGGCGGCTATTCACGCCAGTCTGAACACGCCCTAAGGGGAATTAGCAGTAGTTGTCAGCGAGGAACAAGCCATTAGGAGGTCACACACGGTGAATATGGAGAGGTATAAATATATTATAACAAAGGAACCTCGTGTATATCGAGATATATACACCAGTTATAAAAGCCTCGGCTTCGCCTCGGTTTTCATACTGGTGTATATATCTCTATATACACTCGGTTCCTTGTTATAATATATACACATAACATCAAGAAAGAGTGTCTTGTTGTAGATGTGCGAGTGCTTTGTGGGCGCTAGAGTTTGAGCTGGTTACGATTCAGTAACACCTTCCATACTGTGTAGTTTTCCACCTGCATTTGAATGATACCCAGCAGTTCCCTAAGCCTTTTCTTTGCGTGTGCCACAACGAAGAGAACCTCATCTGCGCATAGAAATCTGAACCCCAAACATGCAAAGGCGTGAACTCTAACCCAGACACATGTTCTCCACTCGATTCCTCTATGTTTCACGTATAACTAAAGCGGGATTCACAGAAGCTTTTTTGCGATGCGACACGCGATGCGACGCGATCTGCGACGGACGCGTGCGATGCGAACTCGCGAAATACCATTCACAGAAGAAGTCAGTGATGCGACAAAATCTTGCTGATTTGGCTACGTCACCATGATATTCGCGGTTTGATACAACTTGTACAAATTTATAGGCAACTCTTGAACCTTTGTACAACTTTGCTGTAGAAAAGGTCAAAATCGTACGCCAAATCGCTTGTCGCATCGCAAAAGTTGAGCCAAGCTCAACTTCTGCGATGGCCCAGTTGCGGCAGTTGCGTGGGGTGCGACAAGGTTGCGATTTGGGGTTTTCCCGGTTTCGCGCATGGCGTGTCGCATCGCAAAAAAAGCTTCTGTGAATCCCGCTTAAGCCTCACTATTGATCACTTGGCCACTCGATAAAGAGTTTAATATCATCGTTGAGCCAGGATCTTGTATCGCGTTTTGGTGGATAATTCAAATGCTTCACTCAGCGCGCGTAGTCGCTTAACCAGTATCACTATCACCACAGTATTTTACTGAATTTCAAAAATGTCATCTCCAAAAGTGTTGGACTGTGCTGGCAGTGGCATTGGTTTTAAGAGGCGATTAACCCTTCGTGACCCCATCGATCGATATCGATCGATTGGTATACAGTGGCACTAAAAATATAATATCTCTGGTGTTCCTTCTCCGATGTTCATAAAAAAGCATCTAGGTCTCGAGAGGAACCTTGACTATCACGTCGAAGTTATCAGAAGTCTCTACGAGGTCCGATCCCGCCGTGGTGAGACTCGAGGTCGGCGGAAAACTAAAAAATTCACTCCGATCGAAAAATTCAAATTTTCACACTGCACTTGGCAGGGATTTTCCCTGGAGTGCTACGTCATACACAAGCATGCTGCACACCAAAATGTTGCGCTTGATGCGAGCTTTCTGCTGTAGTTTATTTGAAGTCGATGTGATGAAGGAGAATGGAATGGCGGCTGTTTGAACTTTGCTGGAGCTGTTTTGAGCGGCGTTCTAGGCCACGCAGACCAGAGGCCGTGCAGGTAGCTGGCTTGAGTGTGGTATTAGTCGCTTCGTCTTGGAAATACCTTTCCAGCGGTGGCAAGTTTGTAAAAATCGGTGAATGTTTGGCAGAGATACAAGCGAAAGTGCATGTTATTTGGAGGTGAGTAAATTGTCGTACTTTCAGTGGGGTCACAAAGGGTTAATTAATTGGCTTCAGCGGAGCCATCGAATGTGAAAAGAAACTGCATAGCACATGAATTCGAACTGATCTGCACTCGGAAGAAAGCCAAAAGGCGCTCAGCTCGATAACAAACTGCTCAGCCTAATGCAGATCCAAGCTTGTCAACTTCCCTTTCTACGTCGCGAGTCACGCCTTAAGTTTTATGTGATTGTTCACAAACACCGTGCGAACAGCACAGATGCATACATGAGCACTGGGTATGCATACATGAGCACTGGGTCGTGAACTGTGCTAGGTAGGAGATCTACAAGACTGAGAACAATGGCGGTGACTACCGAAATCAGACACAACCCATGGCAGCATGCAACACTTACAACCCACTGCTCGATGTTGGTGAGATCGAGTTGATTCGCAAACTACATACAAACCCAGGGAAAACAACACAGCAACACGGTTGCCCAAAGTCAATTATTGAAAACAAACCGCAAATACAGGTGAGTGCACATGCACAAGCAGGCACACACATGCACGCACGCACACCGGGAGCGATCAGTTTTTTGGGGAAAGGGTTGGTATGTGGACACTATGGTGACGGTGGCAAAGAGCTCCGTCCACGCAATACACTTCTGTGACTGGTGACCTCTCCAGTGGCCCTGTAACCACCAGCCTATGAAGAAAAGCCTGGACAGGTTTTTTTCCAGAGATCTACACGTACACACCGGACAAATGCAAAATGCAAGATGGAGATCGACTTTCCTCAGGCCAGTGACCGGGCTAGAGCGATATCATTGCCAACCAAGCAGTGCTGCATAGAAAGCGTGTCATCGGGGATACAGTGGATGAATGATTGGCCCCGTAGTACTAACAGGTGCATAATTAGATGTCACTTTTGCATCGCCCACAGCTTCTTGGGCAGCACACCCAAACTGGAGACCTGTGTTTGGGACAAGATAAAGTAGGAGCTGACCACCCAACCTGCTATAATTTCACAAAATATAGACTCACCTTGTTGTATGTCCTGTACTCATCCGGTCGCAAGCGCTGCATGTAGAGAAGGAAATGCAGAGGGGACACCATTTCTGAACATGCAAGTACAGCCATTTCTCCCCCCCCCCCCCAACCCCAACCCCCAACTTTCCCCATCTCTCCCCCTATTTCTGTAAAGGTGCTGTAACTGATACAGGGCGTCACAGGGCATTGTGCAGTGGTGTCCTCCGGGAAAAAACAAGCATTTTTCGGCCAATATGGCACGCTTTAGCGCTCTACATGCGCTCTGGCGGACCATCCCGGACGGAAAGTGGTATGACCATGGTCTTACTGGCCGTACTGTGTGCGACACCCTTGTCGTATTTGAGCAGACTTCAAAATGCAGTGCAACCCCATGATCCAGTGCGCAACCTGTCCCCATGATCCACTGTGCAACCTGTCCCCATGATCCAGTGTGCAATCTGTCCCCATGATCCACTTTTCTTGCCACTCGCGCCGCAACACTACAGCAATGATATGCTCAGTAAAATGTCCATGCTGCATCAAATAGAGACGCAAATCAGAATAGCAAGAGCAGATAATATTTCCAGGCTGCAAGATTTTTACTAATGTTTTATCGATCAGCCCCATTTCGTGCATGAACACTCAGTGTGCTGTCAGTCTGAACACACAATTTTAGGGTTCACGGATTGGCATGCTAGCGTCGCCAGCTACATCATGCACGTGACAGGTGCGTGCATATACTGTACCACACAATCGGTCAGTGCTCAAATCGCATTTTCCCATCAATATCACACTCACTTTCAACTCCACGGGATTCATTACGGTTGGCTCAAACTGCCTGAATTTTTGAATCCACACGCACGAAAGACATTCCAAGACTTCCATCGTTCGTATTTTTTCAAACGAGTTCCGGGTTTTCCAGTAACTTTGGCCAAAGTTCTGCTAAAAAAACAGGGGGAGCCGCTGCGTTTCCGTAAAATATTGAACGGTAGAAGGATAGCCAAGGTCGAGAGCAAAACAACAAGCCATCATTTGTCAAAATCGAACAAGAAACGGCTCAGCGCATCTATTTTCCGTGCACGCGCGCGCGTACTTTGGCCGACAAGGTGTGTTTCTGAAGAAGAAGAATAACAAGAGCAGCAGCGCTCGGAACAGCCGTGCTGGATACTTCCAATCCCGACACGATGGAGCGTGTTGGCTGTCGTGAGCTGCTGAAACGACCATGACATTTCTTTTTCTTTGTATACCCTACATATCTTGACGTGCCCTTGCTCAGTTTCGGCCTCTTTACAGGAAGAATATTTTCTTCCTCGGCATCAGCGGCCAAACAGCAAGAAGAGCAACAGATCGAGATTTGCAGGGCAAACAAAGGATGCGTGCAGCTACATCTAGTCAGGTTCGATGCAGCTGCGCTTTGCCAGAACCTCAGCAGATAAGAAAAGACGACAGAGTGTCTCAGATGGAACTGGATCTTTCGCCAAGACCGCCACCGCCGCCATCATCAAGTCCAGGTCAGTCAGAAAAACCGAAGCAAAAATGCAAAGCCCGAGTGAAGTGAAGCCACTGAAGCCAAGGAAAATTCAAAAAGTACGCTCTCCGGCTAGACTTCGAGTCGATATTTTTTTACTTCGATAGGCGCTGTCGCGGCCTGTAGCGCGCGTCCATAATCCAAAACGGAGACGCACGTGATGGGTACTTTTAGTGGCAAGCCGTGAACCCTAAATTTCAACGTATACACTACGGCCGTCACCTACCGTGTTTATAGGGAAACGATCACGCCACATTGCAGCCAAGGTGCTCGGGCTATCTGTCACAGCTTCTGTCATGGACTTAGTCAGCTCTGTTACACTGGCGATGCTGCTCCCATCCCTCTCTGGCGTAGAGCTGTTGTCAGGACTCACCGCCGTGGAGCTAGGCACATCGACCGCCACAGCTTGCGTTGCCGAGTCAATTTGATCTACAGACGGTCCGTCATCAGGCCCAGGGCTGTCATCAACGTCCACCTGCCGTTGCACCCTCCCATGTGCCTGGTAAACGACACATCAAAACCCCACATGTGTTGGTTCATAAACCAAAAGAATTGGGGTAGGGAGGCATCAGCGGTGGTGGTCCTGCTCCGGCCAGATCCCAATGCCAAAGAAGGTAACATGCATACAGTTTGAGCACAGATAGTATCATCATCATTATCATCATCATCATCATCATCTGCGTTGCCGAAAAAATAATAGTAAAATTAAAAAAATAATAATAATAAACGGCACTATGCAGCTGTGTAAGCAGTAGATGCACAGTGTGACTGCTAGACATCTCTGTCAGATGCCAACTGGCAATTCTCATGCAGAGAATCGCTACTATAGAATAGTACAATATGTGCCCAGATTCCACGGCAGGACTACCAATTGGCACTCGGCGATACCTCTTGCTGCGGATCATGACTGTACTTCCACGCCTTTTGTTGAGCAGTCAGCTACGGTCTCAAAATCATGCATGGTAACTTCAAGCCAAGAGAACTTGCACCTGCATTTTTCATCTTTCCTGTACTTCAGTTGCATTTGTGTCACAGGTTGAAGAACATGCATGCATGCAAAGCATCTCACAAGTATGCGTTGGGATATACCCAAATTTACACTTGAAAAAGTCTAGGCTTTAAGTGTTATTGGGTCCTGATACCGGCAAATGCACAGTACACGTGCCACTTTGCTCAAAAGGGTTTGGGGGCCGGGCAGGCCGCAAGAGTTGAACATGTCCAGTTTTCCCAGTCCTGGCTATCAGCGGTTTACCATAATGATGTTGGTACGCACTGGCTTGCATAACCATATTCTGCTAGGAGAGATTGCAATTGGCACTTCCGGCCCCCTGACCCCGTGCATACCGGCGATATGTGAACCAGCGCTAACAGCGCTCCGATTCCTGGAAGATAGCATAGTCACATGTGCAGACTGCAAACACGAGCATCAAGATCCATTGCTAAAGGAACAACAAAAACTGTTCCTGGTGTCGTTCCGTTCGTCTTTGTCCGAGTCTCTTCGTCTTCCCTAATACATGTCATTCCCACCTAGCCTGTTCCCGTTGTCCGTAATGTCTGGAGAGTATTCGTCTTGTTCGTACTCTGGTAAGACTGGGAATTACAACGTACGGCATTGCTGATGCGTAGAGCGTGGTACTTCAACCAGGCAAGTGGTGAGAGGTCCTTTGGAAGTGCTGCACCAGCAATCGGGTACACAACTTCACCTGCAGGAACAGGGAGACATGAACGTGCACAGGCAATTGCTGGACAACTCGATACAGCATCAGACACCGTACTGCAGCACCTGTGAAGGAATCGTGGGTAACGGGAAAGTGAGCATGCACCAGAGCTATGGCATACACCAACTGCAGACACATGACGTGCTTCAACTTTTCAGCAGTGCGCAAGGGTACGGAAAGATGACCGCCATACAGTATAACAACGACTTGTTAACGAGGTGATGCAATTAGCGTTACATCATCAGTTTAGATGCTTTGGCGAGGTCGCCGCACAGCGCTGCACAGTCTTCTACTAGCATCTCACGCTGTATGCTTAGGTCCCATTAGAAAATCCACAGAATCATTCGCATAACCTCTGTGCACTACTAGCTTCCCTTACATCTCTCTCGCTTCCCTTACATTTTCCACCTAGCGTCTCTACACAGGCTCTTCAGAACACGACCACTGGCACTGGATTATGTACCACACAACTACACGACCGTCGTTCTGATGTTTTCATGCAAAGATGGGGCAGCCCCCCCCCCCCACGTGGGCATGGAGCAGTTCAAACGTGCTGCTTACAATGGACTGCAGTGTAGACTGTACCTGGATTATGTGTGAGAGGAAATTGCAGGAAACAGGGCAGCATCACCCAAACAGTGACTTTTCGCGTACCAGGAAGCACTTGTGCTTTTGTAGGAGACTTTCATGCGGTGGTATTTTGTAGTCTTCTGGAGCTTCTGGAGATAGCAGCTCAATAGCTCCATAGCTTAGTTGGACTAGAAGAGCTAGCTGATTCAAGTGGAACATTTTGGTGGATTGAATACACTCCGCGTGCAGTGAAGACGTACTACAGATGCGTTGAACTTGGTTACGTTGGTGGACAGTTAGTCAGAACCAGTAACATCTTGTCCTTTCTTTTTCTCCTGGATTACTTTGGTTACGGATTACTGGGGACTGACGGAGGCTGCACTGGAGAAGCTGAACGCCTTCCATAGACGTCAACTACGGTTACTTGTTCGGAATTAGGTATCCCGCCATCATCTCCAACAAAGACCTATGACTATGTTCCAGAGCACACGCACAGCCACTCTCGCACACCGTTGCTGTCCGCCGTTTCCGGATGCTGGGTCATGTTCTGAGGATGCCCTCAGACGCCCCGCCACAGCAGGCAATTGACAACTACTTCCTCCGTTAACAAAAACTTCGTGATGGAATTTTGAGGGGCTGATTTGGGCACAAACTGCCGTGAAATCAGTCGCAATCACTTTCTTGGCCTTCCCTGGCATGCCATGACAGAGGTACGATGCAAGGAAAGCGACCTTTCACAACAAGCCGAGCGGAATCAATGGTTGCGCTGTGCTGTCCCCGGGGAAAATTGCGATTCCGCGGCCGCGTTTTTTTCCGCGTTTTTTTGCGATTTTTTAAAAGACCGCGTTTTCCGCGATTTTCCCGCGTTTTTTGAACTTTTTTGTTGCACTACACGTACACACAGTGCACTGTTCGGTCAGCAACGTCTCATCGTGGCGGCTTTTTACTCAAATATGACGAGTGCTTACACTAGAGACTTGTAACTGATTGATTTCACTACATACTCACTGAAAATTGCCGCACATAAATATTATTCACCGCATATTTACCACAAATTCACCACAAATTATGCCATATTATGCCGCGTTTTTTGCGATTTTTTTCCGCAATTTTCCCCGGGGACAGGCTGTGGAAACATAGGTCATGACAGTCATGGCGAGCGAAACTGAAATACCACTTCTCCGAGGGGATATTGCGTTGCTTGGCCTCACTGTCACTTTAGCACTGATTAAGTTGGAGATTGATAGAGAGCGATGAAACGGAGCAGCGAGCCCACACAATGAGCGAGTGAACAAGGAGCTGCTCCGATCGCACGGCTCAATGAAAATAAGTCTGAACTCAAGATCTTGTTCAACCTGCGCAAAGCCCAGATTCGAATGCTGATGACCATGCATTCTTTCAGAAGTCCGCTGTCCGATGCGAGTCTCGTGGCTAAAGAAAGTCGACTGGACTTGCTAGCCGCTGCCGTTCAGTGCTGGCAGGGGAATCCATTAGAGAAAATGGAATCAGTTTGGCTGTGCCTTTACTCCTCATTTCGCGGAGTTCGGACAGCGAAGATGAAACCAAGGAGTCGTAAAATGTTTTCACGACTCATTGGTGGAAACGAGTAATCGCCATTGCGGCGAATCACGCAGCTTGAAAGCCAACTTACTTCCAACGACGGCGACATCAAGGTCAGCGGAGTGTGATCAAAGAAGCCGAGGCAAGGCTGAAACGAGCTGAACAACGACTCGAGAGAGAGAGATGACGACTCGCGTACAGCAGATGACGACAGCGACGCATGTCAAAAATGAATCGAGCGAAAGCGACGCAAACTGAACTCTCTGCTCATTCCCCCAACAGTTTCTCTTGTAAAGACGCTGTACATAGGCTGAATCACCTTCGTCCAGTGATTTGCAGTCGATACAAACTGTTCTTGATCTGTTCTAAGCGTTTTCATATCCATCAAAATCCATCACGAAGTTTTTGTTAACGGAGGAAGTGTAATAGGTGTATGTATGCTACGACCTGAATACTCACTATTTGTATTTCCCGCTCGTTCCCCTTGGCAATGAGCCACTCACATAGAAGAGCGCATGCTCCAGGTTCTGTTCTGTTGTAGTCTAGTCTTGAGTTGTCGTTGTCCTGTTCTCCTTGTCTACACTCTTCTCGAATACTTCTATAAATTATCCAATCATATAAAACCCCTGTGTTCCGGTGTGAGGGGGCATCATTAGCCGGGAGCAGCTAACACTGGTGGCAGCGGAAAACGTCCACCACTACATCGCTGGCGGAGTATGTACGCCTTCGGAGATCGCCGACTATGAAGAACCACGAAGGCCCACGCAAGTGAAACCATATCCTCATCCACTCTCTTCGTCAATATTTTCCTATCTGCATTGTGTTTCTTTCTGCTCGTCGTTTTCTTGTTGCATGCATTGTTTACCATGGTTTACAGTCCATAGGTCAAGCATTGGCGCCAACCTGTCTGGCCAAACATTTTCGTAACATTTTCTGTGTCCGTGTTTTGTGCATACTGGCTGCTGTCTAGTGTCTTGTTAGGATATCTGCTAGCTGGGTAGTAGAGTCTAGCTACACTGTGTCCGTAGAGTAGTTGCCTATTTGGAATTGTCTCTGCCAAATTTAGTTGTTTGCCGCTACGCACGATAGGTTACGTAATAGATTTAGAATTAGATCGATAGTTGATCGAGGCGTCGATCGAGTCCACGGGAAATTTTTGCAGATAATTTTTTTCGAAAATTCAAAAATACAAAAACAATTTTTTTTTTCACAATGGGCCGTTCAGCGAAATCCAAGAGACAAGAAAAGCTAGAGCGTAGCTTCGCTGAAGCTGGCTGTGACATGAGCATTGCTGAAGAGCGCGAGAGTTCGCCGGTACAAGGGTTGTCCCATCGTTTTCGTTTGCCGGACACAGACACACCACATGCACGTCCACTGCCGAAGCCAGTCTTGCTTCCTGAGACATTCGGAAATCAGCCAGGCCAAGATTTCACCACGTACATGAGGCATTTCGTCCACACATGCGAGCTGAGTGGGTACGACGACGACCAAAAGCTACGGCTACTACCTGCTCGCCTTGTTGGTACAGCTCATGAGATGTTCACCGAAATTCTAACTCACACGCGTGACATAAACTTTTCCGACGCAGTCGAGGCTCTGCATGTCCGTCTTGAGCCGCCCCAGCAAGCATTGATGCACGAGGCCAGTCTTCGCCAGCGAGTGAAGCTGGCGAGTGAAACTCAGCACGGGTATGCCACGGAACTTCGTCGGCTCGCTCGTCGAGCCTACCCAGGACAACAAGGTGCACTGCTTGATTCAATGCTTGTGCAACTTTTTATTGATGGCCAGGCATCGAAGGATTTGCGCTTGGCGTTGGCGTCACCTCGGCCCACTGATTTGGATGCGGCGGTCCAAAAGGCCATCGAGGTAGGTGCTATTTATGCTCGCGAGCAGGCCCGCACCGTACCTCACCAGTACGCACAGCCCGTATTTGCTGCTGCTCCGGAAGTGAAGCCCCGTCATGGTCGTGACCCCTACACAGCAGTCGGTCCACTGAAGTCGGAATCTGAGCGAGACCAGTTGGCTTCGCTTTTGTCGAGTTTTGATTCGCGTCTCTCTGCTTTGGAGGCGAAAATGGAGAGCGTGAGTCTGTATCGCCCCACCCGACCCCAGCAAGACCATGTCCGTTTTGTTGCTCGTGGTGCTGGTGCTGGTGCGCCTAGTCGTGGTCGTGGCCAGAGTTTTGCGAGGCCTGTCCGTGGAGTGTGCCATGGATGTGGTGAAGAGGGCCACTTCATTGCATCTTGCCCGCACGCAAAAAACTAGGTTGGACTGGTGACACGGGGCCGCCGTCAGTCGTCCGAGTGGAGCCCCTCGAGGAGGTATGTGGTGCGATCTCACCCATTATTGTGCACGTTGATGTTTGTCTTTCGTCTTCGTATTCGTCTCCTGTTGTTGCTCTTGTTGATTCGGGTTCAAGTGTGTCGTTAGTGCATTCTAAATTGTTGCCTAATTTGACAGAGCGACCTCCTCTAGAGTCTGCTCCGCGGTTGTGTGCAGTCAATGGCGCACAACTTCCTGTCGTTGGATCCATGGATCTGTGTATGTCGCTAGGAAATCTGTCTTTCCAGCACACGGTTGTTGTCTCTCCTGGTATTCACTGCGACATGATTCTTGGTTCCGATTTTTTGTTGCAGCATGGTGGTGTATTAGATATTGCTCGTGGTGTTGTGATGTTTGGCGATGTGTCTGTTCCGTTGCATGTTTCTGGTTCTGGGTGTCCTCCGTCACGTACGCCCTATGATCGTATTGTTCCGCGTAATACTTCCTCCTCATGTAATACTCATACTCCTCATTCTGATTCTGATGCATGCTCCGACGATGTACCTGTTTCGTCGTATTCTTCTCGTGTTGCC